TGAGCGAGTAAATCAACAGATGGAAATCCTGCTCGGAATGTATGTAAACTACAACATGGACAATTGGGATCAACTTCTACCAATTGCTGAGTTCGCTTATAACTGTTCGCCACATAGTAGCCACGGTCTGTGTCCTTGTGAAGCCTGTAACGGCTATGTGCCACACTACGACATCCATTCGCACGATATTCGATCAAAGTCAAACAAGTTGGAGAAGAAATGGAGAGATATGGGAGAATTGCATGCGACTGTTCAAGAACAGGTCAGGATCGCTAATGAAATTAGTGCAGAGTACTACAACAGGAGACACAAGAGCATACCAGAAGAATTCAGAAAGGGAGAACAGGTACTACTAAGTACGAAGTATCTTACGACGGAACGACCCAGTCGAAAACTAGAAGCAAAATACATTGGCCCCTTCAAGATCATAAGGAAAGTTGGGAAAAATGCTTTCGAATTAGATCTACCTCCATCAATGAAAGTGCACAATGTCTTCAATGTCACGCTGTTGGAACCATATCCTAAGGATATGATACCAGGTCGACAGATACCACCCCCACCGCCTGTAGTAATTAACGGCCAGGATGAATTCCATGTGGAAGCAATCGTGGACAGCAGAATTCGACGAGGAAAGGAGGAATTCAAGGTAAAATGGTTAGGATACACAGGAAATGCGGCCTATGACTGGGAACCACGAGAAAATGTAGAAGAGTTGGCCGTTTTTGGTGAATTTTTGGAAAAAAGGAAGAGGGACCCCAGAAGAAAGTGAGAATTCGATCAAGATCAACAAGACTGGGTCAGAAATGAATGCATACACAGGAAATATAGCTACAAATAGAGAGATATAAACACACTACAAATTGGAGGTGGTAGAATTGGCTCGGGGACGACGGGCCGAAGCGGGAATACGAATGACATTGCGAGGGAGAGGAGTATGGGGAGAAGAGGAGGGACCGGCGACTGGCTGAGAGGAACTCAATCCTGTAGGATCACCAGTAGAAGTAAGATGATCCAGAGTTTCATCGGCGGAAGGAGGAGCGTAGTTGGCGGAAATAAGATGAAGGGATTTGTAAAGACCCAGATGTTGAGAGGGGAGAGGAAGGAGAAGGGAGGTAAAGAGATGGATGTAACCCGAAAGTTGGGTCAGACAGGCGGGTTGATCATGGGCAGGAAGGGATCGATAACGGACCGAAGCCGCACAAAGCTCGTGCTCCAGGACAAAAGTAACCTTGGAAGTGACCGTTCTTGCTCCCACAACGATACCCTATACATCAACATCTACCAAGTTCGAAGGAAGAAGATAGATACCTCGCGAAATTTGGACTTGGGATTGTTGGTTTTCACCGAACACTTTGAAGTTCCCTTCGCAGAGCACTCTCCACAAACACCACCAACTGAATTGCATCAACATCGAACGAGTCGCAACAAGAACTTATGAGGGCCAATACAACCAACACGAAAATCTTCACCACCATCGAGACGACGTTGACAATCGGTACAGAGCTCACCCTCTAGCCGAACAACAGCACCATTTTTGTTGCGAAGGCGCCAACCTTGGGCCAAAAGATCGAGCTAATGATTAGAATCGATGAAACTCGAGGGGATTCGAGACTTACAGCGTTCCTAAACCACTTTACAGTGGGCTTGATGGCGTTGGTTTCGCGGAAACGGTCCAGAGCTTCGTTCTTCAACGCGAGACGAACAGAGGGGAAGGTCATGCTGGCCCAAAGGGTAGCTAACAGGTCAGAAGCGAACAGAACTCGGTGGAATTCTCACCGATTTCGGAGTCTTTTCGATCCTCGAGCAACTTAACCAGTTCCTGGTTGACGGTAACCTTGCGAGGGGCGTGAAAAATGTCGCCAAGTTCTTCGGGAACCTCCACAAGTTCGTCGGAAGCCTCAGAAGGAGGACCAGTGGGTTGCTTACCGGGAGAATTTTCATTTTCGACGACGGTAGGGTGTTCGGATTCGACGGATTTGGCGGGAGATAGGTTCTCACCAGTGACAGATGGCCCAGCACCCCCTTCGAAGTCGAAATATTGCTCGATGACCTGGTCATCGAGGAACGATTGTGGTTCGCGAGAAGGACCGGATTGATACTTCTCCTTAATGGTGTCGAGAGCTCGTCGAGACACATCAACCAATGGGGGTTGAGAGGAAGCGGATTGGGAAGTAATTCTCATTCTTTTCGTTTGACGCATGAGAAGTTCGGGGTCGACGTCGGGTAAAGTTGCCAAGGTAGAGGCTCGAGTTTGACGGGAGGGAGTGGAAGAGGACAACTAGTCTCGTCAGCCAGCGAGAAATAGGAGGATATACATCGAATTCGAAAGGAGTTGCTTACAGTACGCTTAGCCATGCTCACAGACAGGTCAGAATTGGAAGGATGCTCTAAGATATGAGTAAGATATGGATGGATAATGATAGATAAGTAAAAAGAACGACAAACAAGAGGTAAAGAAGGAATGAGGAGGAGAGAAGAGAAAGAAGACGGGGAGGTAACTTGGTCAGTAATTTCGATCACATTGGAGGTCCGTGCGGGTGACGCGTTTTCATGGCAACCGTCACACTAGCGTGGGTATGATGTCAGGGCGCACCAAAGGTGTCTAAGAACAATCCATGTGCATCACCTGGTTACAGGGTTCAGGATCCTCGGCGAGGATCCTTGAGACAGGGGGGGAAACTTGTTACGGGGTAACAACGAATTGAGAGGACTCTATCGAGTTCGACGGATTAGGATGGAGGAAAGCGGGAGTTGGAGGCAGTGCTGCAGTAGGTAGGGACGGGTTTTCCCCTTTCGAGATTTTCCCCACTGGGTTTGCTCAAAGCGGTTTTTCACCTGTCCGAGTATGTACATGGACGCTTGCAGTAGGACTGAGAAGAGGAGACGGATACCTGTAGACAGTATATAGTACAATCAGCAAAGTCCCAACTTTGCTGATTCTTCAATATCATTCTTTGGCTACATCAATTGCAGAGGAGACACGATCCATTAGCACCAGAGCCCCTAGATTTCCACGAGACATCCATCGAGTTCGACCCAACCTGCGACCTAGTCGTCGTGTTTCCAGTACCGTTACAATATGTGGTCTACACTGGTGGAATGATGTTCATCAAGAAAATACTCTGGAAACTGTGTTGTGATCACAAAGAGAGTCTTCGTGACGGTACTGGACACACCGCAGCTTAGTCGCGGGTTGGATCATGTGAAATGGAGTCCTATGGGGTTCTTAGTGTCTCTGGTACAAGGTACTAGTTGTGTCTTCTCTACAGTTGATGTAGCAAAACAATGATATCAAAGAATCAGCAAAGTTGGTATCTTGCTGATAATCTCTATATGCATATTCTGTACACCCGTATTGTGAGCTAAATGTCAAGACCAGACGTTGAAAATAGTCTGTGTCTATGAGCTATGGCTATAGGGCCTCGTAGGGAACAAACCTAGTGATGTAGTTTATAGTCTAGTGATGTAGTGGATTGAAGAGACTATAGTCAATGAGATCAAGTGGCAACAGAATTTGCTAAATGACGAGAAAATACATTCGACAAGACATCTACGAAAAAGGGGTGTTTCTATATACTAAAAAGGGAGCGGAGTGATACCGAAATCTATGGAGTGAATGTGGAAAGCAACATGGGGTGTAAGAGCGAAGGAAGACAGGGATAGATGAGGGACACAGGGATGAAGGAAAAGTATAGCATGGTAAAGAAGTAACGATTAGGTAGGACAGGAGAACGGAGGAGGCCGTAACGGGATTAGTGAGATGGGGACGGGAACGGGTAGGTGGAGTACGGGAACGGGTAGGTGAAGTACGACTTCTGCGTACGACTCTTGAGGAAGCTGTCTATAGGTACCCGTGATCCTGACACTAAACAACTCCGGCTGCAAGCGTGTGTGTACATACTTTGGACAGGTGAAAAACCTCTTTGAGTAAACCCGTTGGGAAAATCTCGAAGGGGAAAACCCGTCCCTACCTGATGCAGTGTAACGGTACTGGAAACACGATGACTAAGTCGCAGCCTGGGTCAAACTCGATGGAACTCTCGTAGAAGTCTATGTATCTCTGGTGCTAAGTGGTGGATCGTGTCTCCTCTGCAATCGATGTAGCCAAAGAATGATATTGAAGAATCAGCAAAGTTGGTACTTTGCTGATTGTACTATATACTATCTACAAGAGTCTGTGTCCTCCTCTCAGTTCTACTGCAAGCGTCTATGTACATACTCGGACAGGTGAAAAACCGCTTTTGAGCAAACCCAGTGGGGAAATCTCGAAAAGGGAAAACCCGTCCCTACCTACTGCAGCACTGCCTCCAACTCTTGCCGTTCTCTTTCCTAATCCGTCGAGTTCAATGGAGTTCTCTTGATTCGTTGTTACTCCGTAACATGCAGCCTTTCCCTATCCGCTTACAACTAATCCCATTGAGTTCAATGCTCCTTCCCTGATGGTTGGTACCGACGGAATCGAATGTTCCGTTCACCTGTTGTTCGCTCAGCACTAATTGAGAGTGATGCATGGACATACCTGTTGTTCGCTCAGCACTAATTGAGAGTGATGAGGAGACAACAGGAAGAATGTAGGTACTTATGATAAGTTAGGCGGCGTTTACCGCATTAAGAGGACACATGTGCGTATCACCTATCTCCGTCGATTCCACCCTCCACATCTTCAATCTGTCTGACGCAAACCAGCAAGTTCTACCAATCTCACAGAATAGCAATAGCAAGGATCCAAATGTGAAGGTTGTTAGATGCTCTAAGGGGTGTCGTTTATCACAGTGGACAAGGTTTGATTTCTGAGGGTCAATACACATGTAACCAGAGAAGTGAAAGGGAATTATCATTCACTCAAGATGAAGTACGGGTTCCTCTACTATTACAACCAATATAATACAATGTCAAAGATTATATGCCTGATCAGCCCAAGGAGGAGTTGGTACAAGTTGATCAGTCAAAATCAGTATAGGGGTGATATTAGGAGATGAGGATTCGAAAAAGGAAAATAGCTGTACAAACATCTGCATTGATACTGTATGATGCACAGAGCATTAAAAATGATATATGTGATTCCTGCCCATCTCATCTCTCTGAATCAATCACGTCTAAAGTGTTTATCCATTGTTGTGCCATATCCCGTAAAGTTGGTGACCGAGCTGAATGTTAGTCATAGTCATCTTTATGGAAGGATCATCTCTTTTTTTGCGGCTTATGACTTGCTGCAACGACATGAGTTGACTATGAAAGGGGAGATTCAAAGTGGGTAGTCAAAACATGCCGGTAAGACTTGAAGTACTCGAAGTACCTGATCAACTCACGTATGTGAAGCGGCATCATCGATAACTGGATTAGGAACGAGATTGCAGGACAAAGAGAGAGGTTAGAAACACAGGGTGGACTCACCACCCATATTTAATATCTCCCTCGCCAATTCCCGCTTGTCCAACCCTAGTATTGTTGGATCCCACTCTTCTTTCCGGTCTGGGCGACTAGAAGTCAGCTCGTGCTCAGCGGAAACCGGAGTCATCCTTATCCCACAATCATCAGCATTGCAACGAGTCCCCGAACAAGCAAGTCGTAAGAGGTTCCCGACTGAAAGTGTATCACGAACACAAGGTGATCATCGAAGTTGGCATTTTACCGCAGCATGTTTAGAATGAAGAAGAACAGCACTCGAAATATACTCACTGATAGATGGGTCCAACTAGATCCCTGACAAACTCATCCATCCGTCCCACATATCCCTCCTTAACCAACACCTCTGCATATCTCATAATCCACCATTTATACTCTTCCCTACTCCCCAACAACACACAAGCACTGATGCGCGTTTCCAACGTATTGATTTCGACAGAGATATCATATCCCTTTGGTCTTTCGCCGTTATCTCGTCTGATATCGATGGAAGATAACCTAGATTCAATATCTGCCAATGGACCACGACTGACGTTCGACGGTGAGGATGTTCTCGTCGATGTGAGATGCGTCGGAGCACAGATGGATGTCCATGATTGTAAGGCTGGGTCGAATGCGTAAGCGGCAGGAGAGGTGGTAATTACCACAGGAACGCCGTTGGGACAGAGACGGAGTTCCAGAATGTCGATAGTGGAAGCGGAGGAAGATGACGATAGGGGATCTATGAGAAGGTGAGATATTGAAGAAACGGGATGTAAGAGTTTACGGGATTCGACGTTACTTTGCCGTCAGCGCTACACAAATGGACTCATGATGATCATTTAGACATAACTCTGATCATGGTGAATTGTGGATGGGTAAGAGACAAGACTAGTGAGATGAGACTTACTATACACGAGCTTGACAGTCCGCGGTGACCAAGAAGACCAGATTTGATATGGCTACCATCTGACTGACAGGAGCTCCCAACTCGACGTGAAATGATCTGTTCATCAATCTATGCCCTGACGTCTATCGCCAGTCAAAGTATAACAAGATCCCACTCACTGTCTTCCGGCCGGAGTGTATACTTTCAAACCCCCATCCTCCAATCCCAATGCGCACAACCTTGTACTCATCGCCATACCCAACACCGCACAATGTACATGATCCGTCCACCAATCTTGTCCGTCTTGGCAATACGTGACCTTACATCTCCCCGCCACTTCATTCCGAGCTTCCACGTATAATGTTTCATCGTGTACGTCACCCGCTTTTGCGCGAAGCACATTTTGAACACTAGGCACAGGTAGTGTTCGTCCAGTTTGAGCAGTCCCGGACGCGCTTGTACCGATTACAGTGGTGCGAGGGAGCCGTAGCTCCGAAACACTTCCCAGAGGCTGCGAGACACCCATCGGACTTCCTCTATTGACGAAGGGGGCATTGTCGAGTAAAGAGGTCTTTCGTTTCGCTCCACGAGGTGAGCCATACGTATCATGAGTGGGCTTGAACGCCTGGTGAGCGTCTTGAAACATTCTGGCAGTGGATGATTGGACCATGGAGGATGCAAGAGGCTGGATAGGAGCGGAAAAAGGGTCGCTAGAGGATCCTGATCTTCCTGAAGGTAGAGGACGGAGGGACGAGCCGTTGGAGTTGGCGAATCCAACTCTACGTGCAGGGTTGGGCTTGGTCTTTCGGGGTTGAAGGACATTGACGTGACCAGGGTTTTGGATGGAAGGAAGGTGAGCAAAGCCATTGGACTGAAGTGAGGGAGCGGCAGAAAGGGATCGAGGGTTGTGACGTCGAGGCGTGTAACCATATGCGTCAAGGATGAGTTGGGTCTTATCAGGAGTGGCGAGTTCGGGGAATTCTGATTGATCAAACGCGATGGCGCAAATGGTACCGTCTTCGGAGCAGCCGTAAAGATGCAGACCATCATTGGCCCTGCGGTGTCAGTAAACTTTGACACATGGCAGAGGGAAGACATTGAAAATGTCGCAGGGATTTGGGGACAGGAGTCTTGGTCATCGTTTGGAAGGGAAACTGACCAGCATAAATCCATCAAATTCCTCCCGAATATATCGTGAAGAACCACAAGCGGCTTGTGCACGGTGTTCCTCCATATGCTGATACTGAAGTCATCAGCGCCAAGGGCAAGCATACATGATGCTGTCAGTCGCGTTGGTTCTGCTCCTTTTTGGAAGAAGAGACATGGGTTGAATGCCTACTTCGTCAGCTGATCACCCAGAGACGCAGGCAGCTAGACCTATTACACCAGAGCTAGACCTGAAGAGGTGTGAGGACAAAGTGGCGGATGGAGAAACGACTTGATGCTCACAGCGACTTGTATAGTGTTTTCATGCCCAACAAACGAGATATCGGCTGTCCACCCTTCCCTCTCGATCACAGCAGCAACGAAGACTGGTCCATTCATGGCGTTTGAAGCGGCTATGAAAGCGCCGTCGGGAGACCAACTGCGACGTCAACTCTCTTTTCATACTATCCAGATGCTCTTCAGGATTCAAGCTTTTCATATGACAGGAAAAACATATTCTAGGTCCTCGGAGCAAAATCACTCACCTAAGTCGACGGAAGAAAGTGGAAGAAGGCGAATTCTCAAATGGTCTCTCGACGCTCGTCACTAAAGACCAATCCTCAGTATTCCAAATCTTGACCGTTTTATCGTCCGACTACTGATCAGCGTTGATCACACGTATCGATTTGCTTACCTGAGTGGCGAGATAGTTCCCCACTGGATCCCATGTCACACCCTTGACGAATCCTTTATGCGAGTCTAATTTCCGTATTCGCTCTACTCTGTCAGTGACTATTCCAATGGTGGAGTATGGGAACATACCGAAAGTCCGCCCGTCCCAGATCCAGATGGTACTGTCCAATCCGACCGAAGCGAGCATGGTATCGTCTCTTGACCAAGCTATGTCGATAATGTCTGTACGGTGAGCATCTTAAGCTGCAGTACGAACATAATCATACACGGATGCGGCTTGTGGGAAGTGAACAGTTCAGAAAGCTAGGCGGTAAACAATGTTGGTGTGTTGAATGACTTGCCTGCTTGATGGCCGACCAGGCGAGTTAAAGGTTTCCAGCTTTCCACATTGACTTCATCTGAGCCAAACAATCTTCCACCTCCGTTGCTGCATGTCAGTATATCTGAAAGGGTGAGCGATCGACAAACTTGCGGGTCAATTCCCCAAATCATGACCACCGCATCATCCGCTCCTGTGGCTAGAAACCTGCCATGGTGTGCCCATCTCACCGTAAGTACAGACCCTCTCCGTCAGCCCTCCTCCTTGACTGTATATCCTTCATCCGCCAGTAACTGACCTGTGTGAGATGTCATCGTGCAAAGAAGTTTGTGATTCGCCTCATCTTCTGAAGCTTCCTCATCTAGTATAGGCAATGTTGACCATATTTTGACTTTTTGGTCTGTTCGATCAGCCTTGCCATGTGCGACGAGTTCCATTCCAGACGCCCTGTGTGTCGGGATACGAGATATTTGTGTGAGTTATAGTGGAAAGAGCCACATACCTAGACCTCCCGTTGCTAAACGAGTCCCATCAGGATGTACTGAAAGGGAATAAATAGGACACCTCGAGTTTTTCTTCTCCCCCACTGAAGGTCAGATTTACGGGGATACATAGTGCAGGACGGGACAGACCGGTATGTTGTACCCAGGCGGGTTTGGTAACTCTCATACCGCTCGCAGCTTCACACCTGTATCGATTTGACGATTTTCTTCAGAATGTTGCGATGGTGTAGTAGATATACAGCTGAAAGAGTTGCCACCCGAAGAAGGGAGACAATTGTACTGCTAAAGTGGTTGGTGAAGACGAGGTGAAGGAGAAGCGTGTTTGCCTCCGACGGAACTCAGCTGTGGGTCTTTATGCCACGTCATAACCATGATACCGGAAGCGATCTTATCAAACCCGTTCCGACGGAAGTCAGAAAAGCAAACACGTCCTCTTTCCTCTTGCTAACCCTACTCGACGTTGCATATAACATTGCATCAACATGCCTCCCAGAAAGTCATTAAGCAAGTCGTCCAGACAGTCAAGGTCAGCCAAAGATGCTAGAGATACTATGGCGTCCTCGAGCAAGATGACATTGGATGAGATACCACCGTTGGACTTGCCGCAGAGTATAACACCGGGGTATGTACCGGTGGAGAGGGAGCAGGTTGTGTTGACCGAGGCGGAGAGGGAACAACTGGTACATGAAGTGAGCACATTGCCTTCTCTCTAAGCGTTGCTACATATGTGGCCTTTCTATCGTGACCTGTCCAAGGGTGAATGCTAGAAACCAATGGCTAATCCACAGTTGGTCGGTTTTCACCCTAGATTGTTATGCGATGATATCGCCAACGCTGCCGAGGATGTCTTACACAGAACAGTGGATGGGATAGAAGGTTGGGCTCAGAATGTATCATCTGGACAGGGGCAGGAAGTTGAGCGAGAGATCGATATCGTAAGTGACTCAATTCATTATAGTCGTCTCTATAACCTCTCTTCTTCAGCTTTCTTTTTGCCAATCTGACCGAGCAATATCTCCCAATACCCTCCTTTTTGATAACCTGGTTGAACCTGGTAAGACGATGATTGAATACTACAGAGAAAAGATAAGTGTGATCACTGATGTCCAGGGTTTACACGCCCTCGAAACCTTATTCGAGAGTCAAGTAGACCGAGCTTTCGACAAATTCACAGCTTGGATCCTTCGTAATCCATTCGACGTTCCTCAAGATGTACAGGTAGTACTTGTGTGTTCATATGCTTGCCGCCTTCTTCAAACAGCTGACGCGTAGCCATGGCATAAGGGACTCGATTTTGCCAGAGGAGAATATGTCGTCTCTCTCCCATCGGGTGAAGCTACCCTTGACGAAACATTGAGTCAATTGAGGACACGTGTGGAACAAGCTCGATTATTGAGTCAACGATTAGAGGTCGCGGAGAAAAATCTAGATAGACGGTTGGAGATCGTTTCGAAGAAAAAGGAACAAGTTGGGTTTTTGAGAGATATGGTTGAGGTTGCTGGTCGTAAGTCTTCGCTTAACCCGAACTCACACCCTCTAATCTAATCTCTCAACTGAAAATCATCTTCGACACATTCATCGACGTGCTATTAGGGAGAACGATCCTCTGTTGCCAGCAATTATTTCGTTCAAGAGTGGGTAGAGCTGATCGTAGTCACGCCCCTTCCGGTAAAAGCAGAAACCATCTCGAAAGGCTTGGAAGATTTACATGAAACATTATCACATATGGACATACCCCCTCCTTCTACCCACCTACCACCTTCAGGCGTAAAGGGGGAGACTAAAGCTTGGGAAATGGGTAGGAAAGCGTATCTCAGTTGGGCAGTGGGGAGGATGATATCACGGGAAAGTGGGGGTGGTTCAGGTACGTCTTTTCCTCCCCTCTTCTGCTTTCGATTTAATTCTTCTTCTTTCACTTCCATTCGTTCGATCGCATCTCTTCCTCCACATTCGCAAGAATGAAGCTAAAAAACAGAAGCCGTAATGGCAGGCAAACACAATGACGGCGTTGACGTCTCACCAGAGACTATTGATGCTCCAGAACGACTGGCCAAAGCTTTGGGATTCTGATTAAACATGATCAGAAATCGATCAGCTATCTTTGACTTTTATTTTTGTTACATACTGACTACTGGGGTGTATGAGTGTAGAATGGAATGTACAATAATAATGTCTGCCTTCATGATTATCATCATTGCTCGAGTCTAATTACAATCCAAGTTTACAACCATTCCCGAACTCTGACAGAAATAAACACTCTTTCGGACAAGTTTCTCTGATCATCCGTACATATATTGATCTTCCGCATGTCTGGAGCTGAGGACTGGCAAGTGAAACAGGAAAACAGGGACTGGTCAATACATAAATCTTTCGGGACTGTCTGATCTATGTACTGCCTGGCTTCACCAGTCTCCAACTCCATTTCGGTTCCCTACATTGAGCCTTCCACCTTCATCTCAGTTTCACAGAGGGAAGTCTCCTCTTTGGGTTGCTCACAGGTCATGTTTGTTCCGCTTATCTGCCGCTGACTGTGTTTCCTGAAGTGAACCCATGCTACTTCTTTAGGGCCCTTTATATCTGCAAAGAAACTACGAGCAGGGAGGACAGTGTATCCTTTTCTACACGCCGTTAACAAACTTCTCTCCAGGTCACTCAGCTCTGCAGGCAACTCGAGTGAGTGATTCTGACTCGGTTCATTGGTCCCGGAGGTTATGGTTGCCTTTTGAGAAGATTTGGAGTGACCCGTAGTTCTGGGATCCTCCTTTACATTTTCACAGCTACCGTGGGAATCACCAAAAGTCGCTTCCAAATCTCTAGTCTTGTCAGTGGCTGGTGTATGTTGTCTCACCTGTTCATGTTCTACTCTACCCTTGAAAGAAGACAACCTTTCCATTGCCATCCTTGCCACGTCCGTGCTGGGCATGGGTGTACTTGAGTGTGAGCCAAGCGAGGACATCTTAGAAATTCTTCTTGTTGTCGGTCACTTGTAGCCAAGCGAATTATCGTGTCTAAAAACCAGACAGTGTTGTTACTTGATGATGAGATGAATGATTAGTCTGATATACACTTATTGGTGCCGGTGATCTAATGATAAAGTAGAAGAGTTCAATTTGACTAATCAATCCCTTCGATCGATATTGATATGTAAGTGAGAAACAAAAAAGTGGCAAAATTCAACCAATTTGAACCAAGGGTTTCAAGATCCGCAAGATGACAGTATGTGGAATGACATCATGAAGTAGGAAAGTTGATATTTCGTTCCTTTCATCAATTACATGAAAGCTAGAAATGGTTCATGGAGGATTAGGAGGATGATTCATGGACAAAGAAAGGAGGAGGAAAATGTGGAAGGATGGTCCGTGTGTCAGTTAACATTATCGACGTGAAGAGGTACTGACTGTACTTTCCGCATCACATGATGGTTGCACAGATACAAAACGCTTGTTTTTTTCTTGGCTTTTACATCTGAAGATCCATCGCAACTTCTCTCACTATGAATATGGGTGAATCACAAAGTCATGGCAATGAGGAATGTCGAATCCTGTGTTAATTTCATCATGCTAACATCATCACCTTCCCTCCCATTCTCCTCTCTGACCGACACCTTCCGGTGTAGGAATTCAAGAGCTCCGAGATACCGAGTCAGCAAAGTTTGGGTTTGAGAACTGTATCCGTGTGTCTCTGTTCTCCCCTTAGCGGTAGATATGCTAATTTTGCCTGCTTTGAGGAGTATTTTGTTTTCATCATCAACATCACCGGGAGTATCATGACCTGGAGTACATTCCGTGTAGTGTGTGTCCAGATACTCTGTTGCGCATGGAAGACAGAGTGACTGGTTTATGAGGTCCTTGTCAGTACTTGGATCCAACTCTTTGTGTTCATATCTACGGTAGGCCTCTATCACTGTCTCAATTATGCAAGGGCTTTCGAAACATCCCTCATTTGAACATGACAAGTGCTCAAACCCGCTATAGGCCTGAAAGAGATCCCCTTGGGCATTTTGGTACACTTTGATCCTCCTGGGAGTAGCTTCAACTAATCTGAGGTCGTTCCATGTTAGCCAATAGAATCGAGCTAGGACGACCGAACCGCCGTTAGATAATTTACCCTTCCGTCGAATATTCCTCCGTTCAACTCTTATCCTCTGAACTCTATTCGATCGTCTCTGGTTTACTGTGTGTGAGTGGAATGTGATAAGTATAGAGAGAGACATGTAGGATTGATACATGCTCTTTTTTCCCCTCTGTATTATCATCTAATTATCAGCAAACACTCTATCGTAATCCGTCGAACTCGATAGAGTTCTCTCGATTCGTTGTTACCCCGTAACAATTATTCTCTCCTGTCCTATGTCCTGTTAGCCCATAAAATCAGCCTGCAATGGCCAAACCATCAATAATAATATTTGCTCTTCAGTCACTGTTGTCCTTTGTCATATCGGCCTCTGATTTTTGTTCAATAGTCTTTGGTCTGCTATGTATGAGTGGGATACAATAAGCATAGACACATGTAGATTTTGATACATGCTCGTCCCCCCTCTGTATCATGCTCTAATCATCAGCAGACATGTCCATCATCTTTCCTCGTGATCCAAAATTTCAGAACCTTTCATGGTCGGTACACCACAATCACTACAGCAGTAAAAAGTGTGTCTCGTTTGGCCAGTTAGTCTCCAGTCCCCGTAGTCCTTATTTCTGTAGAAAAGGATGAATAGATTAGAGTACCACATGGCCAAAACTTTGGATGTAGGTAGGTATCAGACATCATATGACATAACATCATCAATTAGCTTTCAACACAATGGTCCACTCCTCCCTAAACTTTTAGTCTTTTATCTTAAGGTAATCCTCTCATCCACCTTCCTCAATGATAGTCAATACGTTTTTTTTACCCTCCGTAACACAGCTTGGCACATGTTGAACAAAATCATACATACATAACTTGACTGTATTCACTTAGAAAGATTTCATTCTACATTTCTCAACTTATATACAACCTCATCTGTACACTTCTCCGCACATTCCACTTGATATGATACAACCTGTCTACCCCTATCACTCCACATGATGCCCCACTGCTCATCACTTCCTTCTACCTGTTCCACTCGTTTACCCGACTTGCCGAAATTAACCACCGCTACCGTTGCGACGACTGAGGATGCGAGAGCAACAACCACGGCTGCTATTGGCATGACTGAGAAAGATATGGGTCCCCGCCAGTCACACCAACAACCATCTCACCCACACCAGATCAATCGGCAAATTGGAGCAACCCCGCAATGGTCGCCGCCGTACCTAACGCCATACCCAAAACCACCATTCCCAAATCTCTCTTCTTCCTTGGTGGTTCACCCGTGCGTCTTTCCCTCTCGATCTCTTTCTTGTGTCGTTGTTCATCTTGTCTTTCCTTCTCACCTCGAGCGTGAGTGACCACGCCGGGTTGTTTATCTTGTACCGGAGAGGTCTCGTTGGGAGCAGAGGTATGAGAGGATGAAGTGTGCCCTGATGTGAGAGATGCAGAAGGGGTACGAGGGGATGGAACGTGAATATTGATGGAGGAAAGGAAGTGTTGTTCCGTTTGGACAGCCGTATCGATGGTCACTTGTTCTTCCACCTCTGACAATTTACGTTTGGTAGGAGGAGTAAGTATCACTTCCTGTGATGAAGCACGGTTGGAGCTGGTAAGAGATGGAGTACGGAAATGGAGATTGTCATTGACATTGTACATGAGAGGACGTGTGGTGTCTGAGATCAGTCCGTTGAAAGCACCGGAAAGCACAATTTCATCAATTTGATCACGGGTAAATCGAAGACCGCGCAATATCAGGAGTGGTCCCGAAGGCAACAAGGTGAATTTGGGTAACATAGAGACCAGGGACGAAGTTGAGATGGAAAGCAGAGATGAAAAAGGTCGGACCAGGGGAGAAGCAGGAGAAAGAAGGAGAGAGGAGGAGAGAGAGAGAGAGAGAGAGAGAGAGAGAGAGAGAGAGAGAGAGAGAGAGAGAGAGAGAGAGAGAGAGAGAGAGAGAGAGAGAGAGAGAGAGAGAGAGAGAGAGAGAGAGAGAGAGAGAGAGAGAGAGAGAGAGAGAGAGAGAGAGAGAGAGAGAGAGAGAGAGAGAGAGAGAGAGAGAGAGAGAGAGAGAGAGAGAGAGGGAGAGTGAAAGTGAGAGTGTGTGAGAGAGAGAGAGAGAGAGAAATCGGATGGTTGGCAGAGAAAGAGGCAGGAGACCGGAAAGAAAGACTGGAGCAGAAGAAGTAAGCAATTGAGGGGGAGAATCACAGAGAAGGGAAAAAAACCCACCATACGTTCCCAATCTAGAAGACGACCACACAGCCTCCGAAAATTCCATCATACCCGTTGACAAACTTTCCAACGGTGATGCCATACGCCATATCGGTGACTCAGTTTCTTGAGTTACACCATGTTCATCTTTGACTATCATTTCTTCCGCTTGATGGTCTACTGACTCAGAGTTCACGCTGTCTCCAACGGCGACAACTCCCATGACTTGGACCGGAGGTATCTCACCGTTGGTTTGGATCGTATTCGAGTGGTCGGTCGAAGAGACTTGTACGTCTACCACCTCAGTGTGCACGGAGTTTCCGACTTGGACAGCCTCGATAACATGGGTTAGAGGGGTCTCATCACCTGTTTGGAAGATGTTCGGATTGTCAACCATAGAAGCTGGGTCGACATTGTCCTCTTCATACTTCTTGACAGCTTCTTGCTGATGTTCATCATCCCTACCATACTCTCGGTCCTCAGCTTGATCCATAACCTCTTGTTCTTCCTCATCGACATGATTGTCTTCTTCATCCTCGAGGTAATCATCCTCCTCGCCGTATTCATCTTCATCCTCCGCATAGTTATCATCTTCTTCCTCTTCCTCATCCTCATAGTCCTCTTCCTCTTGCTCATCCTCCTCGTCATACTCTTCCTGGTCTTCCAGGTCTCCATCTTCATCGTACTCCATTACATCACCTCGTTGTTCGTCCACATAATCTACCCCACCACCTCGCCCTTCATCCTCATAGTCGATCCCACCATCTCGCCATTCCAACTCCCGCTCACTGGCGTTCTGCAACTCCACCGCCTCCCGCTTCCCCGATACACCCTGTTCCACCTTCAACGCTGTGTGGAGGAGCTCCTTGTGGCTATCCGAAATCTTATTGAAACCCGGAAGGTGGTTAGACTCATCGACCGGAACGTTTGAAACTTCGTCTTGGGCCGAATGGTTCAGTCGATCCTCGGAGATGTGACGTTCATCATTGTGTCCGTAATCAGACGACACGTCGCGATCATCGTGATAAGGCTTATCGACATCCGGAGCATCGGAGAAGTCTGATATCTCGTGACGGTCCGAATTCTGGTGTTGCGAGACGTATAATTCCCCGTCATCCGATCTCCTCGAGGCGTCGTCCGCCTCTGATACATAAGACCGTCCATCTTGCTCCGAATGGTCTGACATATGCGAATCTTCATCATCGTACACGAGTTCTTCCTCTTCTTCGTCGTACAGACCTTCAGAATCATCATCATACCTCTCAGAGGCGTACGGCAAATGAGATTCCTCAGGATTCCCATCATACCTCTCAGAGGCGTACGGCGAATGAGATTCCTCAGGCTTCCCATCATCCCTCTGCGATCCGTATGACAAATCAGATTCTTCTGACTCACTCATACTTTCAGAACAAGACTTCTCTTTGTCGTCATACTTATCAGAACCGTATGACATATGCGAGTCCTCGGATCCATCACCCTCATCATCTACCTCCGAGCTATACGACGAATTCGAGTCCCCGGCCTCGCTGTGTTGTTCCGACTGGGGATATTCGTCCTTAGGCCAAAGACGAACGTATGCCCCACGAGCACATGCTTCCGAAAACGTCATAGAGTCTTCCGAGTATCGATCTTCATCGTCGTGGTCAACGCCCTGAGAGTCTGGCTTCTTATCGTCCTTGATACTTGGAGTACGAGGTCGGTTGACCGGAGATGAGGGTCGCCTAGTTGGAGTAGAGAATGAGGGTTTGTATGGTGGAGAAAGCAAGGTAGTCTGTACTTGCGACGAATCATCGGTCGACCCGTTTTCGGCATGATCACAAGAGGTGGCAGATGCATAACGTTCGTCGGCAGATTGAGGGAGCTCAGCAGAAGTGACGGGGACACCTTCTTTCTTGATATGTTCTTTGAGTTCCCCTGTACTGTTGAGATCTATACTAGCTTCTCCCACCACCGCCATGACTCCATGGCCATGTTTGGGGGGAAACTCGGCAATGTCAAGACGAATGTTTAGCTGATTTATTTGGCGATGTTCAAGCCTAATCTCTTCAGCTATCGGATGAACAGGTTTGACTCCGAGCTCCACCGTGGCGGTCCCTTGTGTACCTTGCTTCGCATCTTGGGTGGGATTGTCAAGTGCGGAGAAAAGTGCTTTGTCGTGTATGTCTCTGACTTCTGGAAGTCCATCATCGTCATCGACGACAAAGGGAGAAGTGGAAGAACCGTTCTTTTTGATGAGTTTGCTGATGGGAGTGATGATCTCAACATCCGAGTCAACCATAATAGCCTCTATCTTCATCTTCTTTGATGTGGACGTGACGATGATCTCTTCTTCTTCCACTTGATCGAGTTGTGACATACGAGACACAGGTTGTCCGCTACCTGAACGCGATCTGTCGAATGCGCGATCCTCATCCGTGTCGTACAAGACGGACGGGGGTACGCCATATGCACCTTTAGTAGAGACCGGTGGGCTACTGGGCTTGCCCTTGGTCTCCAGCCCAATTGGAGGTGATTCGGTCTTTCTCACCTGTTCTTCAGACAACTTGGAGCCTGTCAATTGAGATGCGTTAAGTTTGGCAATGTCATCTTTATCACGACGCCGATGCTCGGATTTGACCACCGGAAGTTGAATATTTCTATCCTGATGCGTAGACCGTGGTGAAGTGACTTTAGCGATGGGCATTTTGGAGACCACAGTCGACGTTTTATGGTGTTCGTGGTGACCGTGATGTTTGTGGCGTGCGGTCTCCTTGTGCGATACCGACTTGTCACTTTTTCCCACTCCAGATTCTGTGGTTCTATACTTCAACGAATTGCCAGACAACCAAGCATCCTCTTCCGAATCTCCTAGGCTGGCCCCATCATGACGTGGGGACACCGCACGCTCAAGGACGTGAATTCGGACGGTCATCGGGCGGTCCAGATAGGGATGGAATACCGGTTTGGGAGCACGAGACCTATCCGACTCATGCAAGTGCGACCATTGCCTTGGAATCTCGACTCGAAAGACGGGAGGGGCTAATTCGTCCTTGAACTTTTTACCGAAGCGGACCAGATCGCTATGATGAAGAGGGTACGGAACACCCTTCTTGAGTTCCTTCAAAACGCTGAGGTCGGAAGAACGGAGAATGTAGGTACCGTGAAGGGATTTCGTATCGAGGAGGAATGGTTGGCCATGGTGATCAATGAAGATCTCGGCGTGAGTGCGGGAGATCAAGTTGTTATCGAGATGCTGTGGGTGAGTGAGAGGACTTTTATTGCCGTATCGCAGAGCGGTATGAACACATATGAAAGTGGAGAATTGAGTAATGCTGTGATGGGGGAAAACTAAATATCACAATGAACTAGCTCTTGGGCGAGGAGAGGTGTGCGGGCAGGTGTGGAGATGAGATATCCGGAAAGTTCGAGCTTTTTCAAAACGAAAGATTGGGACGTAGAATTGACGAGGCCAGATCGTATTGATTTCCACCGAAGACACTGCTTGCAAAGCAGACGGGAACACTAGGAGATGATCAGAGGGAGAAGGGACGGAACGGTTCAGGTAACGAAGAAGAGGAAGAGAGGAAACCCACCATTGCCTGAGAGATATTTTCCGACTCCTTCCTCATCCTTCCTACCATAACACCCTTCTTCAAATCCCCACCTTGGTCAGGATGTCTAACCCTAATCAAATCATCGAGGGAAAACTTCCATTCTTTCTCTGTAATCTTGATTGATTTCTTCTCTTCCGAATTCTGTTTCTTCCCATTGACTTGTTCTTGATCTTTCTCAAGTGACTCCCTTTCTTTGATCAAAGGAGCTTTGTCATCTTTGAGCGAAGGGTGTAATCCATTCGGATTGTGATGAGTTGCGTAGTAAGGTGTAGGAGGTCTTACGGGACTTTGAGTGCGAGGGGTAATGTTAGGGATAACAAGAGGTGGGAGGGGTACGAGACAGAGGTAAGGATCTGCGATCAGTATGGGTTTGGGCATTTTTATTTAAGAGAAATCAATTCTTTGCTATTGTGGTGGCTTTGCTTCCTTGTGGGAGCGAAAGTGTGAGTGTTACGGATGGATCTAATGAAGGTAGATGAGAAGGTACAGGAGTTGGAGGAGATAATAGAGGTATGAATGCGTGATACTAGGAGAAAAGGTATAATGATCGGGAAAAGAAGATACGGTCGAATGAATGGGATGTCTAGACAACGGAAGAGGTGACAATGGAGATAAGGGGAGTGACACTAATGATTCCACTCTGAGCACATAGACAAGACCTTATGTACCCTTCCGGTTTGACTGTGATGTAGAGAGGGACATGACACACATGATCTCATTTCTTACCCCAAAGAAGAGGGACAGCTCGTGAGAAGTATTTGGACATGTATAGAAAGGAAGCCGAGGGCTGACGAGGAGTTGCCACCCGACCTCGCAATCTCCCTTACTCCCTCTATGATCTCTGAGCCGGATGATGCTCCTACAGATCTGTCATACTCCAATTATCTCACTGACTAATGTGAGTGGAAGGGAGATGGCTGATGGCATTTTGAGAGAGAAGTGCATCAAGTGTAAGGAGCGATAGGAATGACCCATCTACACGACCGAAGGAACAACGGAAGGGAGTAGGAGAGCAAGACTTACCCATCTTATCTCACCCCTCAAGTGAGAGATACTGTGTATCTCACAGTGTATGTAGTCGTTGTTGCTATGACACTACTGATTGGGAATGATGATAGAGATAGAGATAGAGTAGAGATAAGGAAGGATAGGGAGTAGAGGAGGAGAGGGGGGGGAGGGAGGACCGGAAGGGAAAGCGGTATAGCCGAGTGGCACACGTGGCATCGTTTCTACTACTACCTAACTATATACAACATTCAGCCCTAGTATATCATAACCCTAGTGTTCCAACCCGTGAAATTCACGGGAGCAACTGCAGATGGTCAAGATGAATTTAGTGTATGCCCCAGTTCCCTAGTTGAACCATGCCAAATTTCTCCAAGTTCATGCATAGCATACACCCCAGTTCCCCACCACCCAGACTACAATTCACCCCTCTCCGCCCCAGTTCCCCACATGCGGGAGGCTACTTACACTATATACACTACACACTATAAGTCTAATCTAAACTGCAAACCTATACACATTACATATTAAGCAGCCCTGGCTGCCAAGAGCACATCCTTATACACAATATTCTTCGTCTCACCCCTTCTCCCCTCCTCTGAATCCTCCAGCAAAACCTTGAGACCGTTCTTGAACCGTGCGCGAGAGAGACCAACATACAGCTGACCATGGGTAAATACCGGCTTTGAGAGACATAAGCCGACTGTTGCAAGAGATTGCCCTTGCGCCTTGTTGATTGTGAGAGCAAGACCGACTCGTATGGGAAATTGACTACGACGCAAGGTGAAAGGTAGGTTGGACGATTTTGCTGTGTCGAGTTTGATACGCGGGATGAAACACTTATTCGAATGGAAGTCACCACCAAGTATGCACCCCTCAATAACATTTGGTAGAAGACGTGTCACATAGATCCGAGTACCGTTGCAAAGACCCGCAGCTGGGTCCAAGTTACGGAGTAGAAGAACTGTTCCCCCAACTTTTACAATTGTCTTGTGAAGAGGGAATCCGCCAATTGTGATTGAGTTGAGATATTCAATGGGCCAGAGTTGCTGATTCAAAGGCCGAGCACGCGGGTTTGAAGCACCGTCATTCTCCACGATCCAATCCGCACTGAGGTACGTCCGAGATTCCCCACTAAGCTGGCCAAGGAGGGTCTTGTTTAATTCATCAACTTCGGCATTGGTTGGCGCAAGAACTGCACGGTCTGCAAAGTACTGAAGAGCAGCTTCTGTTGTCGGAAAACTCTGAGCCAGGTTGGGATAGACATGCTGCAGCAACTCATTTGTGGACTCCACCCGCAATTCCGGAGGTATTCTCAAAGCGTCTGACTGTTCCCCATCTACCAAACCATCCCCTACCCTGAGAAGCCACTCTGCAAACCCACTTGCTTCCTCCCTCTCAATATCAGACAATTCTGCACTCTGGAGCCGCATGTTGATAGTAAGTTTGAGCCGTTTTACCTTCTGCCACAGACGTGAGCTGGTCAAACATGCGCTCTTGATCTGTGCTTGACTCCCTTTTGGCACCACCGGCAAACACTGTCGAAAGTCTCCTGCAAATACCACTACCACCCCTCCAAATGGCTCTTCAGAACCCCGCACATCCCGAAGCATGCGTTCCACCGCCTCTGCACAGTGTCGATGCTGCATGGGCGCCTCGTCCCATATGATGAGCCTGGTACGCAAGAACAGCTTTGCAAGTTCACTCTGTTTTGAGATGCTGCACTGCGAGTCGCCATGAATGTCGATTGGAATTTTGAACCGGGAATGGGCTGTGTGTCAACTCTGCACTCAATGAATTTGACACGGCTCACCTGTACGACCACCCTTTAGAAGGATTGCACATATACCTGAAGATCCAACCATCAAGACAATGTCACCTTCCCCTCGCAAAACCGCTGCTACCGTGTTCTCCACAAATGTCTTGCCGCAACCACCTGGACCATCAAGGAAAAAGCACGTGGGTGTGCGGGCTCTCGTTGCCTGAACCACACCATTGATGACTGCCTGCTGTTCTGGATTTGCAATTGCCATGTTGAGGGTGCTGGTCTGTTGCAATTCTTGCATATCGTAAGCCAGTTCTTCATTGATAATGCGGCTATCAGTGTCTTCTGGAAAGACTACTGTTGGTTCAGGCAGATAACACCCTGCCAGACTCTTCCCCCTCTCTTCTAGCAAACCCCCCAGAAGATGTAACGCGTAGGAGAGCCGCTCCTCCACACTTGGGTTCTCCATCCATCCCTTCTGCCGAAGCATGTGAACACAATCATCACTCAACGCCATTGAGTGTGTCTCCCACAGGTCCGCCGGGCTGGATGGTTGATTTTCCACCAAGATGATCACAAACAGACGTCGTAACTGGGATCCTGGGGCATATGTTGAGGCTTGAGTAAGACACTCATCAAGATCACGGTCGTCATCAAGTAGGCCAAGCGCAACACATGCAGCTCGAAAGGTCGGATGCAGAGTATGATCAACGGTACGGAGACTTTCAAAAGATGTTGGGCAGGGAACATGATAGAGCAGAAGTCGCAGGTAATAGAGCTCCCCAGATTGAGGACCGGCAAAATACACTCTCCCAATAGCTGTTCCACGTTTCCGAGGCTTCCAAGCACGTTCCTTGGCGTGCCAACAGAGTAACTCGGGTACATCGGCGTATATCTTGTCACGGAGTAACTCTGAATAGGTCTCGCAAGCTTTGAAGTACCCCAATAACCGGCTGTTCCGCTGAAGTTCCTCTGGTAGATTTGCACGTTCGTCTTCAGGCACAAATTGCACTTGATCTTCGTCTGGAAGATGGAGCTGAAGTCGTTCAACGGGTGGAAAGTGTCCATGCATGGGATTACCGCTCAGTCGCCAAACCGCTGATACAATGTTAGCTCAGCAGTACAATCCTCCCTATGACTCACATTCGGATGCTGAAACCCAGCGTGCATCCACATACCGATTGATTTCATCGAGATCCACTTGATTAGGAACCACCGCCACATTTGCCCGATCATGACCCTTGTAGACATATTTGAACATATACTTCACTGCACTGATTGAAGTGCACACCTCAACATTGATATGGGCGTTGAATCGGGCTGATAAATACGGATTATACGGAACCACATGCTGATTGGTATATGTAATGCGATTCTTGGTCCATGACCGCCCATTATCTCGTCTTCGGTAAATAGGGTATCCATCCTGTTCCGTTGTTGTTTCCGGTTGAAAAGCCCAGGGGAACTTTTTTGAACATCGGCCATCACGTCGCATCTGGGCTTGACATCGATCACTGCAGGTATGCAGCATACAGGACGTAACAACCTTGAAAAGCACAGGCTGAGTCTCCTCACAGGGGAGTTCAGCGCATACAATCTTGTCAACATCGGCTGGTGTGCGAGGCTTATCGTCTGGTGTAAGGCACATGAGAAGATGACAATGCGGAAGTCCCCGTTTTTGAAATTCGATCACCCAGATCCTTGCAACCACCTTCAGATCAGTAGACACTCAGCAGGAAATAATGAATTGAACACACCTTCCCCAATACCCCCAGTTTGAAAAACTCATGCAGCATAGCATCAAGCTTGAGTGCAAAGACTCGTGAAACCAAGTCAGGGCGGTCTTGGGCGGTCTGTCCTGGTTCCAACTCTTGAGTGATCTCCGGCCAAGTGGGATTGCAAGTGATTGTTACAAATAGGTCAGGCTTTGTCACATGTGAGACAATAGCCATGGCGTCCTGGTACAGGGCGTGCATCTGACGTGGCGAACCGGCAAATGTCGAGGGGAGCACCACTTTTTTGCCTACATCAGCCAAAGGAATCCCAGCATCAACCGCATCAACCAATCCCTTATATGAATCAGCTCGGAGAGTGGTCTGATTCTCTCGGATCCATCGTAGACGGTTTGATTCGGTCTGAGCCCACTGATCCACCAATAGTTCTTGAAAGAGTCGTCCACAATAGAGTGCGGTGTTGAAACTGCCCAATCGTTTGAAGAGATAATAGGTTGCAAATTGTGCTTGAGTCACCCGCTTAGATCCTCCACGCCCATAGCGTCTTACTTCAGCTACCAATCCACGATCTCCAGCATTTCCATCCTCAATATCTTCTCCCTCACCAATCTCGTCATCATCTCCCAGTGGTTGCCCAGCCAAAGGGATTCTTGGATGCCATCCCGGCTCTCCGTGTGGGTATATCAGAGTGAAGTGCAGGGGAAGATATGCTGAGTGGAGTTCACTAATGTTGCGAACCCCACCGCCTCGCAGATAAACTTGAATGTGATGACCCGGGGACGGTTCATTTTCATCGGCAACATATACACATGCAACTTCATCTGATGTAGGTCGGTTATATCTGCGAGGGTCATTTTGCAGAGGATTCAGAACTGTAAGATACAGAATCGGGGTGTCCTCTTCGGATTCCCTGTCACGGTCACGGAAAGTCTTGAAAGCAGCATAGTATGGGTTCACCCTCTCTATCATTTGAGCCAGGCGGGTCAGAACACCCTCTTCACCTCTCCCTCGGATGTGAATGTTTCGTTGAGCAGCCTGTTCTGCTTCAGACAGACCCGCCAGGAAGACTTGAGCAAATCGGGGATGTTCGCCAGCTTCAGGAAGTAATGCCCCTATCTGGTGGTATGCTCGTCCCCCAATACGAAAGGTGTATATCCCTTGAGGTCCCCAAACTTGCATGTCTTGCTTGTCAACACCCATTGAGGTGAAAGCAAGAGAATTATTATAATTTCGGAGCTGCTCCCGTCGCAGCTTACCTTCTAATGACAGTCAGTGTTCCATCCATTGAATTAAATAATGCCAGCTTACGATGTGTTTGATCTGTTAAGAGATCTCGAAGTTCAAGTGGAGGGTCCAATGGAAGTGGGAGCTGCACCGCCCCATTTGAGCAACAGCCAGAGAACAGGGGATTAGCCAAGGATGAGCGTTCCCCTCCTGCTGCAATGTTGATAGCACGTTCCTCAAGCCAGTGCAATGCGGCACATTTTGGACATGGGACCTCACAACGGCCCAACTGATGAACAGAAGTCCCACCAATGTAGTCTCTTCGAGCACGGCAATGTGAGTCAATTCGTTCCTGATCGCGCCTGGAACGCTGTCCAATTTCCCGTCTTGAAGGACCTGGTATGTCCTCATTTCCCAGTTCAGATTGCTCTCTCAGACCTCGTTCCCGCTCACGTCGTGCCTGCTGTGCAATCTGCCGACGTGTGAGACTCATTATGATAGCTGAAAGAGGGCATGTGGTCAGCAGCTAATTGGCGGTATGTACCGAAAAACCCACATGTGAACAGTCTGTAGTAATTTATGGGTGCACGTTTGAAGAGAGCCAAAGAGATTAATGTAGTGTGTAGTAGAAGACCGTATGGGATGCACAGCACAGTAGACAGGGGTGTCCAAGAGTCTCCCCAAGTGTGGGCCGCGAAGGGCGTAGCGACGATGCGTAGAGCGTAAAAGTTGTAAAGGTGCACGGTGGACCGGGGCGTCCGAGAAGTATCCCCAAGTGTGGGCCGCGAAGGGCGTAGCGACGATGCGTAGAACGTAAAAGTTGTAAAAGTGCACAGTGGACCGGGGACGTCCGAATTCTTCTCCCCTATAGGTGGCAGGGAAGTCTCTGAGCCAAATAACATGTCACGGAACTGGTGAGCGCGAAAAAACACGAAAACACGGAAAAAAAGTCGATTTCTCCCAATTCTGTCATCCCGCGCTCTGCGGGCGTCGCCGCTAGCCACGTGGTTTATCCCCCCAAGTTGTCTCGACATCATCTGTTATTATAGTAGACTAGCGTGCCAACCTGTCAAATTGACAGGCCCGTCTCCTGCCTCTCAAGCTGGATCCGCAAAGTTGTGAACCCGTGAACCCGTAGCCTCTCCCTTCTCTCTCTCTCTCTCGCTTGAAGGTAGTGAAGTTGTTGTATGCTTTACTTCCCTTCTCTGTCTGTCCGTGAATTAGTGGACCGCGGACCCGTGACCTCTCCCTTGTCTCTCTCTAGCTTGGTAGCAAGTCTAGTTCTCTCTCTAGCTTGGTAGCAAGTCTAGTGGAGTTGTGACAGCCTGCTCTCCTTCTTCTTCTCCTTCTCCTACTCTTCTCTCCTTCTCTCTTTCACTCTTTCTCTCTTTCTCATCACGGTTTATCATCACGGTTCATCATCACGCTTTATCCTCTCGCTGTATCCTCTCGCTTTATCCTCTCGCTTTATCCTCTCGCTTTATCCTCTCGCTTTATCCTCTCGCTTTATCCTCTCGCTTTATCCTCTCGCTTTTCTCGCGCCTGCGGCCCTCGCCGCTCGCCACGTGGTTTATCCCCCCAAGTTGTCTCGACATCATCTGTTATTATAATAGACTAGTGTTCCAACCCGTGAAATTCACGGGAGCAACTGCAGATGGTTAAGATGAATTAGTCTATGCCCCAGTTCCCTAGTTGAACCATGCAGTCAAATTTCTAAGTTCATGCATAGCATACGCCCCAGTTCCCCACCACCCAGACACTACAATTAAATTCCCTCCGCCCCAGTTCCCAACATGTGGGAGGCTACTTACACTATATACACTACACACTATAAGTCTAATCTAAACTGCAAACCTATACACATTACATATTAAGCAGCCCTGGCTGCCAAGAGCACATCCTTATACACAATATTCTTCGTCTCACCTCTTCTCCCCTCCTCTGAATCCTCCAGCAAAACCTTGAGACCGTTCTTGAAGCGTGCACGAGAGAGACCAACGTACAGCTGACCATGGGTAAATACCGGTTTTGATAGACATAAGCCGACTGTTGCGAGAGATTGCCCTTGTGCCTTGTTAATTGTGAGAGCAAGACCGACTCGTATGGGAAATTGACTACGACGCAAGGTGAAAGGTAGGTTAGAGGATTTTGCTGTGTCCAGTTTGATACGCGGGATGAAACACTTATTCGAATGGAAGTCGCCCCCAAGAATGCACCCCTCAATAACATTTGGTAGAAGACGTGTCACATAGATCCGAGTACCGTTGCAAAGACCTGCAGCTGGATCCAAGTTCCGAAGTAGAAGAACTGTTCCCCCAACTTTGACAATTGTCTTGTGAAGAGGGAATCCGCCAATTGTGATTGAGTTGAGATATTCAATTGGCCAGAGTTGCTGATTCAAGGGTCGACCACGCGGGTTCGAAGCACCGTCATTCTCCACGATCCAATCTGCACTGAGGTACGTCCGAGATTCCCCACTAAGCTGGCCAAGGAGGGTCTTGTTCAACTCATCAACTTCGGCGTTGGTTGGAGCAAGAACTGCACGGTCTGCAAAGTACTGAAGAGCAGCTTCTGTTGTCGGAAAGCTCTGAGCCAGGTTGGGATAGACATGCTGCAGCAACTCATTTGTTGACTCCACCCGCAATTCCAGAGGTATTCTCAAAGCGTCTGACTGTTCCCCATCTACCAAACCATCCCCTACCCTGAGAAGCCACTCTGCAAACCCACCTGCTTCCTCCCTCTCAATATCAGACATCTCTGCACTCTGGAGCCGCATGTTGATAGTAAGTTTGAGCCGTTTTACCTTCTGCCACAGATGTGAGCTGGTCAAACATGCGCTCTTGATCTGTGCTTGACTACCTTTTGGCACCACCGGCAAACATTGTCGAAAGTCTCCTGCAAATACCACTACCACCCCTCCAAATGGCTCTTCAGAACCCCGCACATCCCGAAGCATGCGTTCTACTGCCTCTGCACAGTGTCGATGCTGCATGGGTGCCTCATCCCAAATGATCAGCCTGGTACGCAAGAATAACTTTGCAAGTTCACTCTGTTTTGAGATGCTGCACTGGGAGTCGCCATGAATGTCGATTGGAATTTTGAAACGGGAATGGGCTGTGTGTCAACTCTGCACTCAATGAACTCAAAACGGCTCACCTGTACGGCCACCCTTTAGAAGGATTGCACATATACCTGAAGATCCAACCATCAAGACAATGTCACCTTCCGCTCGCAAAACCGCTGCTACCGTGTTCTCCACAAATGTCTTGCCACAACCACCTGGACCATCAAGGAAAAAGCACGCGGATGTCCGAGCCCTGGTTGCCTGAACTATGTCGTTGATAACTGTCTGCTGTTCCGGATTGGCAATGGCCATGTTGACAGTGCTGGTTTGTTGCAATTCACCCCTGTTGTAAGCCAGTTCTTCATTGATAATGCGACTATCATTGTCTTCTGGAAACACAACTGTTGGTTCAGGAAGATAACACCCAGCCAGACTCTTCCCCCTCTCTTCAAGCAGACCCCCCAGGAGATGTAACGCATAGGAGAGCCGCTCCTCCACACTTGGGTTCTCCATCCATCCCTTCTGCCGGAGTAGGTGAACACAATCATCACTCAACGCCATTGAGTGTGTCTCCCACAGGTCCGCCGGGCTGGAGGGTTGATTTTCCACCAAAATAATCACAAATAGTCGACGTAGCTGAGATCCTGAGGCATATGTTGCAGCTTGGGTAAGGCATTCATCCAGATCACGGTCGTCATCAAGTAGGCCAAGGGCAACACAGGCGGCTCGAAAGGTCGGATGCAGAGTATGATCAACGGTACGGAGACTTTCAAAAGATGTTGGGCAGGGAACATGATAGAGCAGAAGTCGCAGATAATAGAGCTCCCCAGACTGAGGACCGGCAAAATACACTCTCCCAATAGCTGTTCCACGTTTCCGAGGCTTCCAAGCACGTTCCTTGGCGTGCCAACAGAGTAACTCGGGTACATCGGCATATATCTTGTCACGGAGTAACTCTGAATAGGTCTCGCAAGCTTTGAAGTACCCCAATAACCGGCTGTTGCGCTGAAGTTCCTCCGGTAGATTTGCACGTTCATCTTCAGGCACAAATTGCACTTGATCTTCGTCTGGAAGATGGAGCTGAAGTCGTTCAACGGGTGGAAAGTGTCCATGCATGGGATTACCGCTCAGTCGCCAAACCGCTGATACAATGTTAGCTCAGCAGTACAATCCTCACTATGACTCACATTCAGATGCTGAAACCCAGCGCGCATCCACATACCGATTGATTTCATCAAGATCCACTTGATTGGGAACCACCGCCACATTTGCTCGATCATGACCCTTATAGACATACTTGAACATATACTTCACTGCACTGATTGAAGTGCAAACCTCTACGTTGATGTGTGCATTGAATCGAGCTGATAAATACGGATTATAAGGAACCACATGCTGATTGGTATATGTAATACGGTTCTTGGTCCATGACCGTCCATTGTCTCGTCTTCGGTAAACAGGGTAACCATCTTGCTCCATTGTTGTCTCCGGTTGAAAAGCCCAGGGGAACTTCTTTGAACATCGGCCATCACGACGCATCTGGGCTTGGCATCGATCACTGCATGTATGCAGCATACAGGATGTTACAACCTTGAAAAGCACAGGCTGAGTCTCCTCACAGGGGAGTTCAGCACATACAATCTTGTCAACATCAGCCGGTGTGCGTGGTTTGTCATCTGGCGCAAGGCACATGAGGAGATGACAGTGTGGAAGCCCCCGTTTCTGAAACTCAATAACCCAAATCCTTGCAACCACCTTCTCATCAGTGATCTCACCTTTAGCAGATACTATTGACGTACCTTTCCCAATACTCCCAACTTAAAAAACTCATGCAGCATGGCGTCAAGCTTGAGTGCAAAGACTCTTGAGACCAAGTCAGGGCGGTCTTGAGCGGTCTGTCCTGGTTCCAACTCTTGAGTGATCTCCGTCCAGGTGGGATTGCATGTGATCGTTACAAATAGGTCAGGCTTTGTCACGTGTGAGACAATAGCCATGGCGTCCTGGTACAGGGCGTGCATCTGACGCGGTGAACCGGCAAATGTTGAGGGGAGCACCACCTTTTTGCCTACATCAACCAAAGGAATCCCAGCATCAACTGCATCCACCAATCCCTTGTAAGACTCAGCTCGGAGAGTGGTTTGATTCTCTCGGATCCATCGCAGACGGTTTGATTCGGTCTGGGCCCACTGATCCACCAATAGTTCTTGAAAGAGTCGTCCACAAAAGAGTGCGGTATTGAAACTGCCCGATCGTTTGAAGAGATAATAGGTTGCAAATTGTGCTTGAGTCACTCGCTTAGATCCTCCACGCCCATAGCGTCTTACTTCAGCTACCAATCCACCATCTCCAGCATTTCCATCCTCAATATCTTCCCCCTCACCAATCTCGTCATCATCTCCCAGTGGTTGCCCAGCCAAAGGGATCCTTGGATGCCATCCCGGCTCTCCGTGTGGGTATATAAGAGTGAAGTGCAGGGGAAGATATGCTGAGTGGAGTTCACTAATGTTGCGAACCCCACCACCTCGCAGATAAACTTGAATGTGACGACCCGGGGACGGTTCATTTTCATCGGCAACATATACACATGCAACTTCATCTGACGTAGGTTGGTTGTATCGGCGAGGGTCGTTTTGCAGAGGATTCAGCACCGTAAGATACAGAATCGGTGTGTCCTCTTCGGATTCCCTGTCACGGTCACGGAAAGTCTTGAAAGCAGCATAGTATGGGTTCACCCTTTCTATCATTTGAGCCAGGCGGGTCAGAACACCCTCTTCACCTCTCCCTCGGATGTGAATGTTTCGCTGAGCAGCCTGTTCTGCTTCAGATAGACCCGCCAGGAAGACTTGAGCAAATCGGGGATGTTCTCCGGTGTCAGGAAGTAGTGCCCCGATTTGGTGGTATGCTCGTCCGCCAATACGAAAGGTGTATATCCCTTGAGGTCCCCAAACTTGCATGTCTTGCTTATCAACACCCATTGAGGTGAAAGCAAGAGAATTGTTGTAATTTCGGAGCTGCTCACGCCGCAGCTTACCTTCTACATGGGTCAGCCAGCTGTCCACACTTGGACAGGATACTGACGGTGTGTTTGATCTGTCAACAAATCACGTAATTCCATTGGAGGGTCAACCGGCAACGGCAATTGGACGGCACCATTTCCACAACACAATGAGAACCGGGGTGCAGACACTGTTGATGGCTCCCCTCCTGCCGCCACTTTTGATGCCCGTTCCTCAATCCAGTGCAATGCACCACATTTAGGACAGGGCACATCACAGTGTCCCAATTGATGGAGTTGGACAGTGGTCATATTCAACTGTCTGGCTAGAGGAATTTGAGGGGGCGGTGATGGAGGTGGAAGGCCCTCTCTTATCTGCAACTCTCTCCGACGTCGGGCTTGCTGCCCTGTGTGTCGAGAAGATTGTCCCATCACCCTGTCGGCTCCTTCAATCTCCTCCTCAACCTCAGTAACACGCTCCCTTTTACGCCTTTCCATCTGCCCTACCTGCCTTCGGGTCAAGCCAGCAGTCTCAGGAAATGTATGTGATGATCCTACTTCTGGTACTGATTCTCTCACCTCTTCTGACTGTCGTTGTCCACGCTCACGATTTCTGCGGATGCGTTGAGCCAGTTGCCTGCGTGAGAGGCCTTGATTTTGGGTGTTGTCAGGTTCTTCCATCTTTAAATCTGTGTAATAAGCATTGGGCCTGAACAATGAGTTGCTGCAGGCTCACATATGAGAGAGTAATAGGTCCAGTAATCTACAGGAATAGGGGCTGCAAGTTCCCTTATGGAAGTGTGCCAGCTCTAAACGGCAGAACAACGATGCGTAAAACGTAAAAGGTGTAAAGGTGCACTGTGGACCGGGACGTCCAAGAAGTTTCCCCGAGTGTGGGCCGCAAAGGGCGTATTGACGATGCGTAGAACGTAAAAGTTGTAAAAGTGCACGGTGGACCGGGGCGTCCGAGAAGTATCCCCGAGTGTGGGCCGCGAAGGGCGTTTCGACAATGCGTAGAACGTAAAAGTTGTAAAGGTGCACGGTGGACCGGGGCGTCCGAGAAGTGTCCCCTAGTGTGGGCCGCGAAGGGCGTAGCGACGATGCGTAGAACGTAAAAGTTGTAAAGGTGCACGGTGGACCGGGGCGTCCGAGAAGTATCCCCGAGTGTGGGCCGCGAAGGGCGTAGCGACGATGCGTAGAGCGTAAAAGTTGTAAAGGTGCACGGTGGACCGGGGCGTCCGAGAAGTGTCCCCTAGTGTGGGCCGCGAAGGGCGTAGCGACGATGCGTAGAACGTAAAAGTTGTAAAGGTGCACGGTGGACCGGGGCGTCCGAGAAGTATCCCCGAGTGTGGGCCGCGAAGGGCGTAGCGACGATGCGTAGAGCGTAAAAGTTGTAAAGGTGCACGGTGGACCGGGGCGTCCGAGAAGTGTCCCCGAGTGTGGGCCGCGAAGGGCGTAGCGACGATGCGTAGAGCGTAAAAGTTGTAAAGGTGCACGGTGGACCGGGGCGTCCGAGAAGTGTCCCCGAGTGTGGGCCGCGAAGGGCGTAGCGACGATGCGTAGAACGTAAAAGTTGTAAAAGTGCACGGTGGACCGGGGAATGTCCGAATTTTCTCCCCTATAGGTGGCAGGGAAGTCTCTGAGCCAATTCACATGTCACGGAACTGGTGAGCGCGAAAAAACGCGAGAAAACGAAAAAAAAGTCGATTTTGGGGGGGTCGGACCCCTCCTTAGGGGATTTTGAGTGATCAAAAACTCGGTTCGACTCAAACCCACCGACTTCCCGGACCCCCCTCGCGCCGCACCCCCCTCGCGCGCCACGTTGTTTGTCCCACGTGGTTTGTCCCCTCCTTTATCTCGAGGGTTAATCTGTTATTATAGTAGATCAATAGCCCACAGAGAGGACATAGTCGAGCGAAGGCAGGACGTAGAGAGGGCGTGGACGCGTGAGAGAGGATGGGAGGGGAGAGGAGGAGAGGGGAGGGGAGAGGGAAGGGCAGTTTACAACAATCCTGACGTATGTATATTCCCTCTACATCTCCCCTTTACTAGGTGAACCTCCCTTGGAACCTAAACTGAACCCTTTCAAAGATCCAACAGATTCTGAACTTTTCATTCCGTATCCTGATCCACCAGATCCACCGGAGACCGAAGGTCTCATCTCATACCCCGACCCCAACGAACCAGCGGAATCAGAAGGTCTCATCTCATACCCCGACCCCAACGAACCAGCAGAATCCGAAGGTCTCATCCCCACCGACCCCAACCCACCCATCGACGTAGATTCCACAGACCCCATCCCTGTATGTCCCATCACATTAGGTGGAGAAGAAGGGAATGAAAAGTCGGCAAATATAGAAGCGAATGGATCGTATGTCGGATCGTAATGTTCTCCGAATATACCTGGTAGTTCTTCTGGTACTGGGGGTGTGTAACGTTGAAAGTTTTGTGAGTCGCCTGTTGGTGAGTAAGCAGTCAGATATCGAGTCATAGTAGGGTAGAGTAGGAATTACAGAGATGACTCAAGTGCGGGGATGATAGGTGAGAGAGACTACGAGGAAAAAGGTGGTCGTGTATGAAGAAAAATCAATGACAACATCTAGAAAATAAGGGTGAGTATGAGAAAAGAGATAAGATAAGAGGTAGGTACTTGAGATGATTGAGATGAAGATTAAGTACGACGACATTGACTCACCCATACTAGCCAACCTAGGTACAATAGGAGCTGAAATCTCTTTCCTTTCCAAACTACCCCAATCTACACCTGAAAACCAAGCATGTCCCATAACATCCCCAGCACCACCTTTTAAATTACCTAACCTTTTACTCCTATCTTGTGTCAATAAACCTTTTATCAAATGTCTACCCCAAGGATCCACATGATTAGGGAAAAAAACTTGATTCTTTAAAATCTTTTCGTATATTCCTAAAGGATGATCATCGAAAAAAGGTGGATAACCAACTAACATTTCAAAAGCTAATATTCCTAAAGCCCACCAATCGACAGCTTTACCATGACCTTGAGATAAAACAATTTCAGGTGCTAAATATTCAGGTGTACCACAAAGTGTATAAGTTCTATCTTCTATAATCTTAGCGAAACCGAAATCCGCTATACGTAAATAACCTTTTCTATCTAATAAAAGATTTTCAGGTTTTAAATCTCTATAAATTATATTACGAGTATGTAAATAATCAATAGCTAAAATTATACTTGCTAGATAAAACCTAGTGACATCTGGTGAGAATCTACCTGCTCTTCTTAAATGTGAAAATAATTCTCCACCGGGTATATAAGAAAGTAACATGTAAACGTTTAAAGAATCTTGATATGTAGAATGAAGTTCTACTAAAAAAGGATGTCGGACTAAAGAAAGTATTGAACGTTCTGAATTTATATGTTCGACTTGTTTTAATCTTACAATTTCAGATTTACGTAAAACTTTCATGGCGAAATGTGGTAATTGTCCATCGGCAGATTGAGTTGAAGAAGGTGATGGAGATAAAGGGGAATGTGATTGATATAAATGTGGAAATATTGGATGATATGATGTAGGTCGATATGATGGTCTTTGTCGAACGAGTAAAACTCTACCGAAAGTTCCTGTACCTAGAGTTTCGACTATTTCCCAATCTTCTAATTTTGCCCGAGTGTGGGATGCGGAGGCGGATGGAGAGTTGAGTGAGGAATGAGGGGGGTAGTGGGGAGTAGGAGTTGAATGAGAGATGTGGGATTGGGAATGAGTATGAGAACGACTTTGAGTTTGAGTTTGAGTGTGATGACTTTCATGAGGATGTGGGTGAAGATGTGAGGATGAACGAGGATGATCCCAAAGAGGTGGAGTGGAAATGTGTGAAGAGGGAGGGGAGAGAGGAAGAGTTTGATTGGAAGGATGATGATGTCCAGTATGACCGCTGCTAAGATTACTATGAGAGTAGTCTCCGATGTTATGTCGACCGGGATCAGGATATGGACCAGGATGTAAATGTCGAGTCTGTCCTGAATTTAACTCGAATTGAGTAGAAGATCCAACATGTTGATCTTGTACCTCATGTCCGTGTGAAGTACTGGTCGTACTGTATGAATGTCCATGGGAAGTACCTCCCACTTGAACACCAGTGGACGTTTGTTGTTGCGAATATATAGCTCGTTCATGTGGTAGAAGTAATGACATAGGATCAAGTTTGAACTTTTGCACAGGGGCGTCGGAAGGTGGCATGGTGGTGAGGATTCACGGTTCTTCGGATTGTAGGTCGCAACAGCTGGAGAGATCGTATCAAACAGAAAAGGACTCTTTCATAGGAGGATCTGGAGAGGACGAATCTGAGGGATGTTACAATTGAGAGGTGTGGTGCGGGCGGGGGGGGGAGATGATAGGTGTATGATTGAGACAATTGAGCTGAGGGCAAGGTTCGAAGTAGGTCGTCGTTCTATCGTGCAGAATGAACGTTGTCGGTAATGGGAAAGCCACCAAATCGAAATTTCCGACCTTTAAATAGTAAACTTCTCGGGATGGTCCAAGAAAGCTATCACGGTGTATGGTGGAATGGGTGAAGCGAGGTTTTGAGGAGAAAGAGTTGAGAGGGTAAGTAAGTAACGGTTCGAGTAAGCGAATAACGCTTCCTGAGCAACGGTCTCGCGGGCCTATTCGGCTTGCACCATCAGGGATAGGTTGGACAAGAGTAGTGAGGCATAGAGAAAGTGAGGCATAGAGAAATAAAGGTTTCATCAGATTTTCTCCCCAAGTTCCTTTGGACAGACATTACTTATCACACCCCTAAGTTGATAAGGATTCTACTCGTGAAGTTACTAATTGACCTTTGATATCATAATGTCGGAGGATATGCACATTAAGTATTTTACCTGTTATACTTATACTCATAAGGAAAAGTTAATACTAAACCTACCCAAAAAATGAAAAGTGGGGCTCCTTTCTCCTCACTGCTCACTACTTTCTCACTCTGCTATTCCTCCATGTCGTACATACTTTCCCTTCGTTCAACTAACAATCTACGACCTTTATCTACCTCATTTACTCTACTCCTCCAAACCATTTCTCTAGATCTTAGCTAATCATCAAGCCCTTGAAAGTTCCCATCCCTCATCCCTCAGAACGACGGAAGAAGGAACACACCTCAGACTGACTCACATTCAACAGCAGCACGAGCACAAGTCAGTACAAAGAAAGAACGAGTACTGTACAAAGTCATTCACAAGATCAAGATGTCAGATATATTTAGGAAAGCCGTCATTGCTAAATTACCCAATTTACCACCTACTCGAGCACCTTGGGCAGAACCTATGGATGATGATGATGATGAAGAGATAGATTATTTAGGTGAATTGGATGATGCGTATGTCTTTTCCATCTCTCCATCTTCTCTCCTTCCACTATTCTCTCTCTCATTCCTCCTTTCGTCCCACTTTCCCTGCTTCGTCTGTCCCCCTCCTCCTCCTCTGTCTTCATGACTGGACAAAACGCCCCATGACCTGAGGTTTCACTGTAACCCCCTCACATTTCCTCCAAACATTGTTCTATGTTACATCGCCATAGCTCCTTAGATTCGAAAATTCATGGCTGGTCGTAAATCAAATCCCACAATGTGAAGTAATTCTTGTCCTTTGACATGGACCAAAGTGGAAAGTACTGATATACCAGTCTCCCACCCCTCTCGACAAAATCATATAAAAACCTTACCCCTCTCTCAGCTAAAGATTTCTTCAGTCAAGCTCTTGAAGTCACACCGGGAAAAACGACATTCAGAGTTTATCTCACACCTCCTATTCTTACCCCCGAAACATCTAGTACTCCTCTTGAACAAGTAGCCACGGCTTCTAATTCAGATTCATCGAGGGGTGGGCGATCTGGAGGGGAAAATCCTTTATCCGGTAAAGGGCGATTGGAAGAACAAGTAACGGAAGGGGATACAGATAATAAAGGAACATATTTAATATGTCATCATGGTGCCGGATCAAGTGGATTGAGTTTCGCCATGTTAGCGAAAGAGGTGAAAGAGAGAGGAAGAGGAGAATTAGGTGTGATGAGTTTTGATTGTCGTGGACATGGTGAGTTTTCTCATTCTTAACTCATGCTTCTCGTCATTCACTAGGTGATTGATATGTGTTCCTTCGATGTATCCCTATGTTGCGTTCATGTCATTGGTACCCTCAACCAGACTGTTTTTGTTTTGTTCTTGCCTTCTTTCTTCTGGCTGATCCTTATTCCCAAAAGTCTATTCTGTTTAATCCCGCATCTCCCGTCAGTGCGTGATGTTCCTCTCCGTACTACATTCAAACCCAATAGTCATCGGACGCCAGGTATAATGGTGAAGGTGTGGGCGGAATGAGACACTGAATGATAGGCAAAACGAGGACCGACCCCGTAGATGAAGAAAATGATCTTTCTACGTCAACTTTATTATCTGATTTCGTATCTTTGATCCAACATCTTTTTCCCAATCCGATCATCTCCCCATCTTTACTAGTAAGTCCCCTTCCACTTTTTCCTCTTCTTCACACATCTCTGAAATCCATTGTTTCTGCGGTAAATAAGTGTCGTTCGTTTCTCACTCTCTGCCGCATGGTTCAGTCGTTATGTTGAAAGTGAGAGTACATACTCACGTCAGCTCATGGGTCATTCAATGGGTGCTGCACCTATTCTTGCCTCTGCTCCGATTTTGCAAGAGAAAGGGTATAAAGTAGTAGGAGTGATAGTATTGGACGTTGTAGAGGGTGAGTCGATTTACTTTCCTTATAATCTTCTCATCCTCTTATCGTCCTTCGCCTTCCTACTTTATGGACAACACTATCTGCAGGTGATGTCAAGCGTATGACTCTCAAGCTCTTGAGATTCGCATTTCTTCCCCTTTCCCTCGATTGCCCAAAGTCCTCAGGTCTCATCCCCACCATTGAGTGTGTTTTTGCTATCTCGCTCTCGTATGATCAACTTTATTCGTATAAATTTCTGAGCAAGAGGGTTACCAAGGCCAATCTCTCATCATTCATATATCTTCATCCTCCTCATCCATAGCTAACTTGAACCTGGTGAAACTGACAAATAGGAACCGCTGTGGAAGCTTTACCTTTGATGAAAGGTATTCTCAGTAAAAGACCTCAAACATTCCCTTCTGTAATCGATGCGATTCATTGGCAGTAAGTTTCTCCCATTTCTTCATTCAACCATATCCATATCCATATTCTCAACCGGGTCCAAACCTACTTGCCTCAAAATTCCATCCGCTCATTCTACCTTTATGCAATATCCTTCCTTATCTTCCACCCCTCCCCGCACGGAGATGAATCTCACTCATTTCCCAACCTCTTTCGTAAACCCAATCACTCATCGGTCTCGGCTCAATACCCGTGACCGCAATCTTCCCCGATGTTAAATCATATGCACGGGATCACAAAGTATCTTGAAGAATCCGATTAGGAATCGAGACATATTCTTGTGACTCACTATTCAGCCTCGTATCCAATTCCATCCGAAATTCCACTTCTGCTCGTATCTCAGTCCCATCTTATCTCATCCCTTTGAACCCGGGAGAGGGACAGGAAACAAAGCAAAAATGGCGTACGGATCTAATATCGACTGAACCATTTTGGTCTGGTCAGTCTTCTCTTCTCTCCCCTATCTCATCATCCCTTCTTTGTTGAGCCAGTCTCACCCAATCGTCATCTTATTCGTCTTTCGCCACCTCAGCTACTACCACAAACATACCAGTACTCTACTCTTCCAAACCTATCTTAGTCTTAGGGTGGGGGTTGGGGAGGGGGAAGAAGGGGAGGGGACCTTACGTGTTGACTCTTTGTTTTGCCCCATGAGGAAAATGCGCGAACAATAAGGGTGAACAGAGAGAAGGTAAATCAAGTGCTGAATGATAAGGATGGTACGAAAATCTTTCATCTAAATTCCTCACTTCGAAATGCGCTAGATTGTTAGTTCTGGCAGGACAAGAAAGATTAGATAAAGAACTCATGGTAGGACAAATGTAAGTGTATATTTCACCTTTTGATTTGATGTGTGATTGATTTGTAGGCAAGGTAAATTTCAATTAGAGGTAATGCAAGATGTTGGTCATTATTTACATGAAGTGAGTTTGTGTCCATCCACCCCTTATTCCTTTTTCAATGGTTCATACTTCCTTATGAAGACCATTTAATGTATATTCATCACCTTTTCTCTTTCATGACATTTCCCCCTTCCCCCCTCCTCCCTTCACTTTCATTTTGTTCACATCCACTCCCTCTCTTGTTCCCCCCCCCCCCCCCCTTGTTCCTTAGGGAAGAACATATTTTTCAATAACGATGATCTCTCTTTCAAAGCTGTTTGACTCCAGCAACGGGCATTTACCACTCCACCCATTCCTCATGATCTCTCCATCTCCAATCTCCATATGCTGGGCTTTGCTTTGCTACTCGAGATAATCCAAACTCATCTATATCTCCAACCTCCATTTCCTATGTCTCGCTACTAACGCTATTCGATAGTCTAAAACCATCTCTATCTCCAATTTCCACATCCCATGTTTCGCTATTCGATAGTCTAAAAACATCTCTATCTCCAATTTCCATATGCTGTGTCTCGCTATTTGAGACAGTCTGAACTGGTGGATTCACAGACGCTGATGACAGGACGACCCGACCAAATTGGCCAACATCATCTTAGCATTTTGGAAACGTAATACCAGGATGATAGTTTTACCTGGTAAGATCGGTTCGAAGTTGGTTGGAGTTAGACGAGTAGGGGAAGAATGAAACTTCCCTTCACTTCTTTCTCTTCTGTCCCTTCTTTCTACATATCCCTTCGTTCTGACATTTGCGTGTACATTGGCTTGAAATGCGGGTTTGATGTTAGTACGACAGCGACGGATTGATTGATGAAAACTGTAATTATCCTAGAGCTCAACGACCAACGGATGAATACCTAAATGATCAATCGTTTTCGTATTGTCCATTTGCATGGGTATGAACTCACTATGAGATATCTTATCAGACTCTCAGATCATAATATCCCTTCAGTGTATGCGAATATGCCAACACCAAAACTGCGATTCAAGAAGTTCATCCCATGACCAACCACCCTCCACTTTATCGATCGTAAGAATACAATAGTTTCAAAGCCTTGATCCACAGATTGACCATTTTTGATCAAACCGACATCCGACATCTCAAGATTACTATGTATCCGTCCCATAGGCCAACTTTCACAAGTTCACTATTCACTAAGATGAAGTATTTTCCAAGAGATAAAAGATTGCCAATATCATCTCTTACGGATCCATTATGGACTGAAATGTCTAATCTCTCCTTCCCACTTGTTCTCCTATTTGAGCGAGTCTATATATCGTTGTAACCTCCTGAGTCTATATTCATCCGGATAGGTAATTGAGATCGATATAACGTTTCTTGTGAAGGAGGATGAGTAGAGGAAAGATGAATGATTTCAAATATGATACCTTTTAATAAATCCTTATCTTTGGAAAGTATCTGATATCAGTTTCAGTTTCAGTTTCAGTTTCACGATTTCATTTTCGGACTGTAAACTTCTCGGATATTTCATATTTACATGACAAGTTTGTTTTGTATTTCAGAAACCAACGTGTTTCTTCTGATATGTTCACTGATATCCTCTATGGCACGATCAACCCCTGTGTTCATTAAATGAAACATCGATGGTATGATAGATCATGTTCTTTATTGAGAAGTAGGAAATTGTTTTATATACCGATCTCTCCACAGTCTTCATTGATGAGGAAAAGAGATATTGTTTTGTAAACTTATCTTTCTCCAATGATAAGATTAAGAAGAGAAGGGAAATGTTGACACTTATATATGAGTGTGACATACCTTTTTAGTAAGACCTTTAAGATCATCTTCCAACCAACCTATACAATCCACCCAAGAACCTTTTTCGATCTTTAACCTTTCTCTTTCATCCTGATCTCCATCTCTTCTGATTATTTCTTTCTCATTGTCAAAGATGACATGAGAACCGACGGTCCGACTTCCCATGGGTGGTTGACCGTATGAGGAGGAAAAAGAAGATTGTGATATCTCTGATAGATCCCTAACAGAGGGGTTTTGACCGAGCAAAGGGATAGAGAGATCAGCTAGGATGGTTTGACGTGATTGAGAAGTAGGAGGGACGGTGAGGATACATAAAGCTGTAGAAGGATCAAAAGCTAGTATTCTATTTGTTAGCTATAACGGTGGATGTTACTTTAACAAGGAGCAGTGAGGGGTACGGAGATAGATCAGGTATAGAGAGAGCAGGGACATGTAATAATTGGTACAACATACTGCGCTAACATACGTATTTTCTTGCCTTTATGTTTTATTGACACACTGGACAAAGGCAAGAATAGAGCTGATTGGATGAGATCGACTGGAGGTGGTGGAGGTGGGTTCAATATCGGTTTAATGGATTCCATCTTGTACGTATTACCTACATAAACTTCATTGACGGTTGTGGGGGATAATTATACCTTGAGGACTACTTTGTGGGGTCATAGATATAAGTAAGATATGAGGTCAAGGTAAGGTGGTTGTGTATATATATACATTTGGGTGGGGTGTTGAGATGGGAGGGAAACAAGGAAGAAGATGAAACATGGAATGTGATTACGTAAACAAACCCTTTCAACCCCGTGTTTCAACTTTGACTTGCTACAATCTCCGCGGTTTTCTTCTCTCTCACATATCATGCTAATACAGACTTATGTACGACCCAAGTGAGACACTATCAAGGACAATCTCATCGTGTATCTCTGTGGAAGTGACTGAAATAACGACGTGGAGAAAACAAAGCGGACGTTGAATGAAAGGTGATGAATCAACCCGACCCGGAGACGGATCCACTGGATGATCTCTTCACTGGTCAGTCTACCTTCACTTCATACCTTTCAGCCTTCCTCTTACTCTGGGACAGTCTTAGTGGGAATTATAATGCTGACTCACAGAATCTCAAGGACAGTCCACACTGGCACAAGATTTGTCCACCCATGAGCCCGTGCGTTTACTTGGTCATCATTCAGTTGGAGGTAACCTTATACTAACACCTAGTCATATGAAAAAACACATGATGAACACAGGAGAAAAGGTTGGACAGGTATAATACCTTCTATACCTGGTCCATCTAGATCTACCTTTTCCCATCTTCCTCTGTCGACTTCCTCGTCCCATCTGAACTCACCCTCTGGCCCTTCGAGACATATCCCTTCTCTTACTCCCATACCGACATCCTCTTTCCTTCAAAACCAGGCGGGCTCACCTACTGTTGGTCGATTCAAAGAGCCAGAAATCTTCGCGGAGAGGTTCAAATACTTGATATGTTCTTCCGGCATTCTGGAGAAAGATTACGTGCCAGGTCTGAGTGGAGGTGTGGAAGAAAGCACGGACTCCGATATTTCCGGCGACGAACTAGACTTTCTACTTCCACCTGATGAATCCTTCGTGAAAAGCCGACTGGGAAGACTGAGGGAGTTGACGAAAGGTGGTGTTGAGGTGTATGAATTGGCCTTGAAGAGATGGGACGTGACTTTGGCCGGCGTGATCTTAGTAGGATCGCTAGGATCGTTGTTCAGGAGCTGGAATGGGGTTTTGTTATTGCTTTTGACACTGCTGGCTGTATGTTTTTGGCCATGGAGATCTAAAGTAAGTGTCACTCAAGATTATATTTGAATCATGTCAAATACTGATAACCCAGTCTTCCTCTCCCGAAATCCGTGATACAATTGAACCTTCTACTCGGTCTAAAACCACTTTATCACTCACTTCCTTCCTCGACTCGTCCCGCTCATTCGACCAGATTGTCGATACTGTTCTCCTCGCTCTCTCTCCGGATTCTTCTTCGTCGACATATCAACCACTTCGTCTGACTCTCTACAGAACATTGGACGACTTAACAGACGCATTGGCTTCTGCTACTTCCACTCTACTATCTTTGGTGGACAAAGAAGAGTTGGGTGTCCTAGGACAAATGTACGATATTCCCGTTGTTGGGAGTTTTCTTTACCCAAGAAACAGGCATCCGGATGCAAGTGTCGACTCGATAGATGGATTACCTGAGGGGGTTCCATCTTTCTCTCCTCTCTTCAGGGGGAATGTACCTTCACCCCGAAAACCCATTGGTGGGACTTCGACGCCTCCTACCGATATATCCACTCGTCTCGCCCTCATGTACTCCCAAGAAGATCAGTCCGACAAGCATTCGGACCAGAACACGAACAGTTCTCTCGCTAAACACGAATCATCTCCACCGCTGCTCAAGGAAGCTCCGAATGGAATTATACTTGGGACATCTCTTCCAAACAGACCGATGAGAAGTCCCAGTCCAGCCACACCAAATCAACCTGATCCTCATCTCCCTCATTCCGCTCCAGCACACCATACCCGAGCGTTGTCCCTGGCCTCCGACGATAGATTCACCAGTCTACCTCCCCGTACACCGAGGTTATCGAAAAAATCTAGTTTTGACAGAGAGATATGGGCTATAGTAAGGGAAGAAGCTATCCGTCGGCCGAAACATGAAAGAAGGATCACAGAGGCGGATGAAGAGGATGTGGATGTTATACCGAATTCTGCTCCCGGGTTGATGTTTCCTACGTCTGCCGCAACCCCTCACGAGCATACTTCACAATCGGCGGATCCAATTCGACAGGGCTTGGAGAGAGTCGGTCTGGGTTTAGGGGTGGAAGCTTTTGAGTCAAACTGGGAAGACAACAATACGTCACAACTCAATTCTCCATGGTCATCATCAGTTGTGAGAGATACGCATCGAATACGACCTGTCTCCCTCTCTCCACCGCAAATTCATCACAAGAATCGAATTAGACCCTTATCTCTTTCTTCGTCTCCTTATCGAGAAAATACATCCTCCAGAAAATCTGACTCTATGGTGACACCTCGACCCCTGCAACCATCGCCATCAATCGCTACGTCGGAAAAGTCGTCACATCTTCTGTCGGAAAGGAAGAAGCAGGACGATATCAGACTTGGAAGTGTTCCGACTTCTCAGGATAATTCACCTTCCATCGAAACCTCGAATGCGTCATTATCCCGTAGTACCAAACGTCTTTCTCTCCAGAACTTGACATACTATCGGTCTGACTCTCCTCCCTCTCATTCGTCACAGAGCATCTCTGGCACTTACAACCTTTCGTCAGAACTCCAAGAAGTCAGATCTCGTCTTGCGACTGGTAGAGGGTCAAGACCCGGTTCAATCTACTCTATATCGTCTCACCCTTCTAGTCCTCACAAATCTGTCCCATCCAATTTGACAAGTTCATCAGGCCTCCCCCACCCCAGTCGTCTTACACACCCCGAACGAGCATTCCCGACTCCTCTAGGCCTACCCATTTCTAGTGATAACCATCCGATAGGTCTCACTACAACACCCTCATCACCTTCTTATCCTTCTACCGGTACTGCAGGTTTTTCACGGACTAGAGGAGAGAAACTTCACCGCGTACCGTCTGTCTCTCCATTGACCGTCCCGGCTCTCAAAGCGGGATGCTTAGGAGTTCATATGAAACGACGTCGGATGGCATGTTGTTTGCTGGCTTTGAGGTTCAAGTCGAACTCAGGAGGATATTCTGGAACGGAGAGAGAATTCCCTGGTCATCTAAAGAGTTTTACATCTCCTGCGCAGCGGGAAGGATCTTCCCTCTCCCAAGATGACCTTGATCTTACGAGTGGAGATGGTGGAGACGTTGATGGAGCAGAAGAGGCATATTGGGAAGAGGTAAGGGATGTCTTAGATACTCTCCGTGATGCCTTGAACGACGCGACAGAGAAGTTACAAATCGCGTTGGAAGATGTTCAAGGGGATTTGTTTCACAAGGCGAAGTGGAACGCTACGAATGGAACTCCAGAGGAAATATCTCGGATCGGTGCAGTTGACGGTGACTTTGGGAAGAACTCTTCCATCTCCACAAATAAAGGATGGGCGAATGGGAAGTCTGAAGATGTTGGAAAGAGGTGGAACACAATTGGAGATTATGCTCCTAGGGACGATGAAGTGGGGTTGGTATTGAATCAAGTGGAGGGAATGCAAAATGGTTTGAAAAAGACTTGGCAAGATTTAGAAGAGATCAAACAACATCTGTATCAACTCGGTCTCCCCGAATTTCATCCTTCTGAAAATCATCTTGTCCCTAACGAACAATCCTATCTCACTTCTCGTCCGAACAAAGTCGAGAAACCGTCCGTGGAGGGATTGACAGAGGAAAGACAAGGCCGAAAGCGCGAGGAAACGGTTGAGATGGGGAAAAGAATTGAAGAGGTTAATATAAGATGGAAATCGGTCCGTAAACAATTAGGTACTTTGGTGAAAGATTGGGAAAAAGGTAAGAAATCTTTAGATCGAATAAAGTCTCAGTTGGTCATTTCTACTGGGAATATCTCAGAGACGGATGTGGGGGAATTGATTGGGTTGGTAGATGGTGTAATGGTTGGGGAAGGGGATGAAGCTGAACCTTGTTTTCTGGATACATGGAGGGAAGCACGAGAATTTTCCGAAGTATCAAATTTTGATCACACGGATTCTTCACAACGGATGAGAAACACAGGTGTCGGCCACTTGGATCCTACCCCACAGAGCAGAAACACGGGCATTGGACATACGGATCCTTCACCACAGAGCAGAAATACAGACATTGGCCATACGGATCCGTCAGCACAAAGCGGAAATACGGTTACTGAAATTGACAAGGTGAGGAACGGAGGGACTGCAATGAAAGAGATAAAAGGGAGAAACGAAATGATCGAAATACTTCCTCCTCCTGGTGAAGATATAATATTCGAGGTCGTTCCTTCCATACCAAACCCCCCTTCCCGCTTTCCCACATCAACGTCAAGATCAAAGATGACAATTGGGAAGATAAATTCACAAAGAAAAGATATTGGAAATATATCTCAGGAATTTGGGAGAGATATAGTAGGGGAAGATGATGATCATGACGTTGAGAAAGAAGAAGAAGAAGAAGAGAGACGAATGACAGAAGGGATGGTATTGAAAGAATTACAAAGTCTTATGGGGATGATAAGGTTGCGTAAAGGTCAATCGGGGGGTTTGGATAGAAATGAACATCAGAATCAGACTCGATATCAAGATCATAATCATAATCAAAGTCAGTATCATAATCATAATCAATTTCAAACTCAAACTCGAAAACAAAAACCAACTCAAGAAGATTCAGAGTCGTCGGTGAAGTTATCGAAGGAATCGGAGAAAGGTTCTTCTTCTTCTTGGGGAATATCTGGAGGGTTGGATAATTTGGATAATGTAAAAAATCTGTATGAGTTGGATAAATCGGATAATCAACATTCGAGTCTGAGGATGGGTATGATGTCCGAGTCGGGGACATCTTTACCAGCTTTCCGACAAAGTCCATCTTTACCACCTGTACGTCCTCAATCAGCACCACAATCTCTACAGTCCTTGCCACCTCAACAATCTTCATCTCTACAATCTGTAGATTATCCAACGAGTCAATCTTCACCTGATCAATCGACCCAATCGTCCAGCGTACAACGACAACCTCCAACATGTCGATCACCAACATCTTCAATTCCAGCAAGTTCAACGTCAGCTACATCTTCAATCTCAGCTACATCAAGACACATCAGCCGACCTACATCTCCCAACAGTACTATATCTCCAATCACAACGACAAACTCTACCGCCACCCCCACCAACTCTGTACCCTCCCTCAACCCTTCCACTCTCCAATCACTTCCCACATCCACATCCACATCCACATCCACATCCACATCTTCACCTCCTCACCCTGAACTCAACTTCAACCCAGAACTCAATCCCAATCCCAAAGTCGAGATGAAACAAAATTTTCCCGAAACCATCAACCACCTACCTCCCACCTCCCTCCCCTCTGAGACAAACCACATCAACATACCTAAACACTCCTCCCCATCTCAATATTCACCCATGATCCAAAGAAACGGTGTGATGACGGATATCACAAGAGTGAAGGAAATTGAGAAAAACCAATTATTCTCTGAACTCCTCAATGCTCTTCCTCCTCCACAAACAGCAATGTACAGTGCTGAACCGGGTTGAACCTCATACATATCGATGTACCACTCCACCTTCGCCCTCTATGACGGATCGAACATACTCGATCTCCATTGCGTCAAATATAATCTTTCAATCAGCCGAGGAGATGACCTGGTAATTTTCTCATCCAGGATTTTCGACCAAGGCAGCTGTATCTTGGATCACTGGTCAGTGTAGACTCAATCCGTGTGCAAGTTTGTATGGAAGGCTTTCATCATCCAATTGAGGTGGATCTAGAGAGGGAAGACGTATTCATAATTTGTCCATTCCGCAGGGTGATGTAGTGATGTTTTGGTGGGAATCACAAGTACCAATACCATCTATGATGATAATCTATGAAAAGAATCCATGAAGATGAGCTATGATGATATTCTATGAAGTAATTTATAGCATGATAGAACTCGCTCTGCCTTGTCAGAATCGTATGCGGATGAACAAGAATCTCAAATGACTAGAAAGCATGATGCATATCAAACTGAGTATGTACCTTGAACATTACGATCGTGTATCCAAAACGTACACACATCCTTTTCAAACTTCAAGCACATGCACAAGTACATTTCACCAACTCATTGTCTACAATTTACCAGTCTTCTTTAGCCTTCCCACTTCTTGTCTGCTCCTCCCTCTTCAAATCCACCCATATTGATCATATGGGAACACGTATGGAGAACAGTGTTCGAACTAAATTTACTCATCTGACAATTAGCACTTTCATCTCCACTCCATAGCAATCAACGAAGCCTTCACCCCACCTTCCAATTCCAACGCCTGAAAGATGTAACAGGAAGAAAAGAGACTATGAGTTCCATCTTGTCTATCTGACAGTGTGCCTTGAGCTCAAAAGCCAGGATTACCAATTTGGAGACGATGATGGAGGATACAAATTCGACTCACCTCCATTCTTCATCCTCTCACCCAACTGAACCCTCTCTTGATCATTCTTAATCTTCCCACTAAACACTTTAATCTCACCTTTCAACTTATTCATAAACCCCACTTTCTTCTTACTTTCCGAAGCGTTCGAAGTGGTTCGTTCATGTTCCCCCAAAGGTCTTATGGGTGATACGCTACGTCTAGGACCTTCGGGAAAGTTTTGAAGTTTGTTAGGACTCTTTCGTCCTGATTTGATTTCGTCAGAGGGACGTGTTGGATCTACAGAACCTTGTCCGGTTTGTAAGCCTTGAGAAACTGGGACAGGTTGGACCGCTTGGGGGATATCCTTATTCGGGACGATATCTGATGAAGAAGGAAGGATGGGAGGACTTTTCAGTGGTGATGATGGTCTTGCTGGCAGTCTAGGGCTCTTGGAACGTTTAGGAGATCCGATTTTCTCTTCCTCTGACTTCACCGGAGTTGAGATGTTGGTTGTTATCGGTTCAGTCGTCGAAGACGATTGCGTATTCTTGTAACCCAATTCAGCCAGAGTTGGTAAAGGTTTGATATCCCATTCTGGGTCTAAAGCAGAGGACAATCTAGCATTCGTACTGGGGTCCAAGCCCGAAACAGGAGCTCCCAACGTATATGGACCGGACGATACAGCAGGTGTTGAGCTGGAAGTAGGGTTCAAGTTGAGGTTGGCCATTTGACTTGGAAAAGAAGGGTTTCTCTGAGTTTTTGCACCTTCCCCAGCAATGGTGTTATGGTCCACCTTGGGGTATTTCCCAGGTGATCTTGAAGTACTTTCGTTCCCTCGAGTAGAAGGATGTCCAACTCCCTCGGATTCATTACCTGGCGTAAGGGAGAAAGGGATTATGCTGTGTTTCTGACCTTCAGGGGTTGGGACAGCTGAGTCGAGGGAATTGTGTCGATCACCTTCGTGCCCACCCCGAATGGCAGTGACGCTGGCCATAGAAGTAGTTCGGTCATTGGCGAATCTAGGACTCAAGAGTCCAGAATGTTCTTTGCCGCCAGCGCCGTCGTGGGATTCCACAGCGGATGCAGATGTGGGCTCGCCAGTGGATAGTGGAACTTTGGCAGGGCTGGTGCCAAGGAAGGTAGCGGGGAGAGGTGCACCGGAATGAGAAATGCCTGTTCGATCAGCTCAATCCATGTTTCCAGGTAGGATCCTCCATCAACTCCCTGAACCTGACGCATGCGTGGGTGCGAGAGAAGACCCACCTCGTTCATGCGGCAACAAAGCGACACCTTTTTCCGACGAGACCCCGGGAAGAGCTCCCACTCCACCGGAAGTCTCGCTAGGGACTGCGCCTTGTACTTCTTGGGAGGGGAGAGAGAGCTTTGGAGCTGGCCGTCAGCACTGATACCTCGGAGAAGAGAGTATTTCACCTTTCTCGTCCGGCAGCACGGCAACGCCAGCTTCGGTGTTTTTCCCGGGAAGAGCACCTACTCCGCTTGATCGTTCACCAGGCAAAGCACCAGCGGGTTCGTTGGAAGGGAGCGAGACTTTGGGGACAACTGCTGTCAGTTCTATCCAGTTTAGACCAATTCCGGCGCATGAGTTTCAGCTGAGCAAACGCGTACGGCCAACGAGAGAGTCATTCCGGGAGAGAATACTGAGTGACGACAAAACGAGAAACAAAACACACCTCCAGCAGCACGAGCAGGACTATTCGCCGCGACGACTCCAGTATACGCCAAAGCACCATGCACCAACCCCTTGGCCTGCTGCAAGAGAGTGTCTCCTATCTCCGCATTGACAGTAGCAGCACCATGTGTCGTCCCTGAGGTCGCTCCGTCGACGATCGCTGGCTTATCGGCAGTGCCGTTGGCGGCAGTTTGGGTCTTGGCCGAAGTTAGAGACGCAAGTTCGGTAGCCTTGGCTGCAGTGACAGCAGCGAGAGAGTCTGCTGTCTGTGCGGTGGATGTGGCCAGTGCATTGGCGTGATCGGAAGTGTGCTGGGCTAGAGTAGTCGCCTTTTCCGAAGCGACTGCTGCAAGATACTTTGCTTGTTCGGTTGCGTAAGCGGCCAGAGAGTTGGCTCTGTCCGATGTGGACGCGGCAAGAGAGTTTGCTTTGTCCGTGGCGAGCGCGGCGTAGGAGTCTGAGGTGTGAGATGTGTGAGAAGGGTGGTCTACAAGTCAGCAATGGCAGTCCAACATGTCGTAACACGAGGAAGATCAATTGACACGCCTTGCCGGACGAGACCTCTGGGGCAATGAAGTGGTTGGAGTTGTGGATGAGGGTGACTGACGAGAGGCGATGGTGCTCTGTACATCGTGGACAACCTTGTCCGCTTGTATCTTGGCTTGATCGAGCAATGCTGTGCGTGAGCTCCGATATCAGTATGGATTTTTGTACCGTGAGTGCCGGCACACCACACCGCTAGGGCGATAGGATGGATTGGTGGAAGAGTCGATAGGGAGCATTACAACATGAAGCTTGATTTACGCCAGAGGGGTACCCTGAGGGGTTGAGAGGAGAATGAAACACGGCCGGAGGATGTGAAGTCAAACACTTACCCGCTGTGTCCCTCTTGGGGGAGACCTGGCCCTCGGGGTGGGGGTGGTTGGAAAGAGCCCCTACGATGCTCGAAGGTAAAGCAGAGAATGCGGCTGTGCCCAATGTATGCAAAGTGTCCCCGACGTCCTATAGATCAGCCATGTTGCACCCGATGTGACCAGTGGACTCAATCCTGGGCCGAAAGGGAGCGACAACCGGGGTTGACGACTCCCTGGCAAGGGTACAGCCGTATTCAAAACAAGCGATGACAAGTGAATCAAATGGTGCAAGTAATGAGAACGTACCTTATAGATAGACGTTGGGGCATGTTCGGCAGTACCGGGTACGGGAAGAGGAGTTACACCTAAGATACCATCAGCCTTATACTCCCTTCATCCACCTCAACCTATACGAAGAAGGGTGGTATATGAAATCGACTTACGTCCATAACCCCCAGGTAATTCCTTCTCCTCCTTCTCTACCTCCAACCCTCCAGTCAATTGCCTCGCAGCTTGTTCCCTCCCACTCAGATCTTCCAGTTTTGCCCCACCTACATTCTCCCTCACGCCACCCTCTTGACCCACATTCAAACCCCCAACTTGCGCCTCTACCTCTGCCTGGGCTGCCGCCACCGCTTTGGCCGCTCGGATCTGAGCCAACTCGATTCTTGTCAAACCGGCAGTATAAGGTTTCCCGGTGTTGGGATCGATGGAAGTACCAGGTTTAGGAACATTAGGTGAAGAACCTAGTCCTCCTCCCGCTCCTGCGAATGCTGTTTCTTCAGCAGAGGATGATGATGGATGATCCGGAGGGTCAGCTTGGACGAAGCCAGAAGTTTGAGCTGTTGCGCCTGTTTGTGAAAGAGAAGGAGCTTGACCCATCTTGTCAGCTGTGGTAGAGTGAAGAGAGGGAGTGAGAGAGGTCATTATGAGAACAACGCGGTGAGATAGGTGACGAGATGTGAGGAAGAAGCATGTATGTAAGGAAAAACGTGATGGTGACGATGTGGGGGAGTCGTCAATGACGTCACCAAAATGCCACGTGGCTTGCTTCCGCCTCGGCTTTATTTACTCCCCCCGTCTACCAAGCATAGACTGACATTCGAACCGGCGGTTTTTGCACTTTTGGCCATGACAAGATAAAACAATGTCGAAAAATGTACCTCTGTTCGTGGTGAGTACCACTCATTATCTTAGATAGCGAGGGGGAAAGATGGACGACTCCCAGCTGCTGAGATACCGGGAGAACTTAACTGACTAGGTAGAAACTCGTCATACCCGCTGGAAAAGCTACTCCTTCACCTCCTGTCGGACCTGCCTTGGGAGCGAGGGGAGTGAAAGCTATGGATTTTTGTAAAGAGTTGTGAGTCCACTCTTCATTCCTCAACAACATCTCCAGATTAGAACCCTTAATTTCAGCAATCCTCACCTTCCATCTTGACTGGAATCATTCCATTCTTGTCATCTTCCTTCTTTCCCTCTTCTTGATACCAATTCATAATCCTCCTACTTTATCCCGTCTCTGACAATCCCCCCTACGTCCACACAATATCCACACTCAGCTATGTAAGTGCTATTGGTGAGCCTCTCTGGCTACATCAACAGGACCGACTCCTGACATACAGTAACGCCCAAACATCCCATCTCACACCTTCACTCCCTACCCCAACTCAAATCCGAATCAACCCCGACCGCACTTTCACATTCTCATTCCGTTCCCCGCCCGTCACTGACCTACTCAAAAAAGCCGCTGGGATCGATAAAGGTACCGGTACACCTGGATCTGGAGCCATAGGAGGACAAGTGAGTCTGAAACATGTTTATGAGATCGCTCGGATAAAATGTCGTGATGCGGATTTGGGTGAATTGGGTGAGGAGAGGGTCGTTAGGGGGATATTGGGTAGTGCGAGGAGTTTAGGATTGGAAGTCGTTCCGTGAGTTTATGAATCTATGGGTGTCATCTTGAGCATCTCCGGTACATGGAACGCCCGGGGCGTGAGTTGGCGCGGGGGAAGGGAGAGTGAGTTGGGGTGGAGGGGAGGAGTTAACCAATTTCTGCTCTTCACACGATTCAATTCCTCTCCTAATTTTTGAATACATTCCGGAATAGTCTTCTTACCGAAGCTATACCTGTATTGATCCTTCCATGCGTTCAAACTTGTCTCTTGGAGATGATCTTCTTACCGAACTCACTCCTTCATCGATCACTCGACAGGTTCAACAATATCTTATATCTTTCCCAAACTTACGAATCCAATGACTGATCACCTCATACGATCAAATATGTTGCTCACTAATCCGATTACTTTATCAACCTATCACCCCTTCACATTGAGAGATTCACTTGAAATGACTCGTCAGTATTCTCACAGATCTCTCATGTAGATTTTATACTGACTTATCGTCCTCAAAAATCATTGATCGTGGTGTTCATCCCCCGTGATCTTAGTAAGGATCCCTGGATGTTGATATTCTGTTGATCCACTCTCTCAAAGACTATTAATCGTGGTATTGATCCCCCGTGAGTTCAATGAGCATTCCTGAGCATTGAATATCCTACTGATCCACATTAAGTGCAGACGATAAACACTCAAATCCGGACTCACGGCAACCCACGTTGGTCCAGCCTCGAGGGGTGTTCCAAACTTCGGCAAAAGCGACGATTCACTTCAATCATTGCATGACAAAGTAAACTTTTTCAAATATATAAACTCCAATTTGTTATTTCCCTTTCCTTTCCTTACCTTTTGTGTTTCCTTTTCCTTTTCGATATCCTGAAGACTCTTTTGCCCAACTGTACCCGTCCATCAACCACTCTTCATTCACGACTCTCAACCGAAATCCACAATCCACAATTCACACCTTTTGTTCCCTCAAATCACCCGGTGTCCTCCCCGTTCACATTCATTCACTATGAAAACCCCAACTTATCATACCTTGATGATGAAAGCAATCCACCACAAGCTCACTTCTTCAAGATCCAAGCGGCATTCTTCCTCGCTTCAGCTTCAGCAGCATCACCTTCCATTTCTTCCCTTGTTTTCCCTCTTCTGGGAATACTGACTCCTCTATCTACACCTTCACGAGCGGTGATACGGTCGATCCACGCTGCTAACAATGGGGTATGTTCGATAGTCGCGCCGGCCCACCAGTATCTCGATACCCAACCGTATGCTGATGGTAAGTGAACTTTCAAATCTCGGAATTGACCTGGGAATTTAAGGATCACAGTTGGGATGAACTATGTAACTAATGGCGGGCGGCTTGAGTTTAAAGAGGATAAGGAGTGAGTGATGTTTGTTTTTGTTTGATGGGAATATATCAGATATGAGACATGGACACGAAGATGAGGAGGCAGTCGGAGTTGGAGTTGGAGTCGGAGTTGGACACGAAGACGAAGACGGATGAGATGGTAAGGAAGACATAGATGGAGATGGGACCAAGGAGGAAGTTGGAGTTGCAAATGTATCAAAATCCATATTCCCCAACAATACACCAATAAAAAAACACAAACATCACTCAATAACGGAGAAACAACACTAAGTACTAGCTCCAAGAGGTCTCGCTGCGAGAAATCCGGACCATATAAAAATCCAACCTCTCACAAGTTCGATCCGAGAAAAACGGAAAAACATATTCAATGTGATAAAGGGAAGACACTGAAACTCACCATTCATATCGACTATACTAAATTTATTCCCAACCAACCATTCACCTCCACCAGCTCTTAAACCATCTTCCATGACTGAATATAAACGATTAGTCTCTTCTTGATAACGTTTTATACCGTATGGGATTTTTCAGGTGCGTATCGGTAGAAATGATTGGCTTGACCTTGCATCGGACCGACACCTGGGTGTTAGTCATAAGTTTGACTTTTTCTCATATGGAATCGTTTATACTACATACCGAATGTAAGGGAGATTGATTGATTGATTGAGAAGAGAAGAGAAGAGATTTGACGTTTGATGTTTGACGTTTGGGTTGTTTGGATTAATGGACTTGGGGGTTTTGGATGACAATTTGAGGAGTTGATCGGAATCGAATGGATTGTACGGACCGTACTTAGAAGAACCAGCAGAAGAAAGGCGAAGAAAAAGGAGGGGGAGAAAAAGAAGGAGGAGGAAAAGAAGAAGAAAAAGAAGAAGGCGGAGGACGAAGAAGTTCATGGGAAAGTGAAGGTAGGAAGGAATGGGAACTAAGAATGACGATTTTCACTAACCACCATGAATAAAAAATATCCAACTTAAAGCTTCACTTTTCTCCACCGGATCAGTAAACCAAAATATATTATCCTTATCATATCTTTCAACCAACCATAACATGATACTAGCACTTTCGAAAACTCTATGACCGACACCGTTCACTTTGACGGAATCATCTACCAAAGCAGGGATTCTACCATTAGGGTTTATCTTTAAAAAATCTTCAGATTTCTGTTCGTTCGTATCGAATCTTATTGAAGTATAATCGTATGCCAATTCCGATTTACCGGGATAAGCTAGTAAAAGTTCTTCTAAGAGGATAGAAACTTTATATCCGTTTGGTGTGGCTTGAGTGTATAAATGAAGTTTTGGTTTGACAGGATCAGAGGAGGCTGAGTTGACGGAAGATAATGCTATGAGAGATTTTACGGAAGGGGATGTTTCGGATGGTTGGAATGGCATTTTGGTCGAAATGGGTAGTTGTGATAGTTGACGAGAGTGTGATGGTTTCGATAGTTGAGATAGTCGTTGTGTTACTTGAGAAGTGGGAAAACGAGTTGATATTGATCTACGCAATAGCATTCAACGGGGGATGGGAAAAGGGGAGAGGGGAAGAGGCTGAAAGAGGAGGGAGAGAGGATACTTATAGTGACACTACGTAAGCACACCATATTAGAGTGGAGGTGACAACCGCCGACGGCCAAGACGCCATCGGGTTTGACCGGCAAACGTGACTGGCCATACTCCAAGGCAGCGCGGCGTACGCGTGCGACAGGGGGGTGAATAGTGAGTGACCAGAAACATCAGTAGTGAGTCAGTGAACCAGTATACGAGTGATTCAGTCTGATCAGTGGGCGAGCGGATGAAGAAACAAGTGCGAGTCATGAGTAAGACCTCAAGGAAAGTCACCAACGATGAAACATCATATCCCATGCATGACTTGTATTGCAGTCCATCACCATCCCCCAGTGTCTTCACCGCCCGGCGCGACGGGTTCAGCAGACCAATCTTGCGTAGTGGGTTCGGCAGACCAGTCCAGAGCTGGCTGTCAGTCATGTTCTCATCTACACCAACTCCGTAGTCCGCCACCAATCCACTGGATAAGTGAGTCCGGAAAAAGCAAGACAGATTCTCAGATTCCAAAGCGGGGAGATGATAGGTAAAGAGACAAGTCCGCCTACTCACCCTCCTGACCAGGCTGAGCAAATGCATTCTCCGCCGCCACACCAGCATCCCATTCACTCCTCATCGCAGCCGTCACGTCAGCAGCCCCAGCACCCTCCTCTCCCTCACCAGCGGCAGCAGCAGCCTTCTCCGCCGCCTCACGTTCAACCTCCTCAGGGTCACGGTAGAAGAACAAATCGGGCAACACATCCCATCCTGTGGGGCCGGTAGGACCACGGGGCACAGTACCTCGCAGACGGAGAGTCTCACGACAGAGCAGATACCACATGAGGCCGATGGAGTGACGGGATTTGTTGTTGGTGGGGATAGCCACGTCGACGAATTTGAGGGAAACGTCGGTATCGCAGAACGCAATGACGCTGGATGGTCAGCGACCTTCACATACTAATGGGTCAAGTAGACACTCATTACTCATCACGAGATGGATGGTTCATTGATGAGTGAAGAAAGGGATGATCAAGTCAAGTAAAAACACCCACGGAATGTTCACATATGCCGCCTCACGGATAGCCTGATGATCCACCCTTGGGTCCGTCACCACAATCACCCTAGGCTCCTTGAAACTCCTTGTGATGTAATTGGTAAAGTTACCAGGGGTGAATCTCCCAGCGATGGCTTGGGCACCGGTGAAGGCCGCATACTTGAGCACAGCACGGTGACCGTAAGGACGAGCGGAAATGACACAGACGTCATTGGGGTTGTCGATAGTAGCGAGGATACGGGCGGCAAAGACAAGTTTCTCCCAGGTTTTGCCAATGTTGATGACGTGAATTCCTGGGAGTGAGCTATGTCCCTGTTCACATCTTCGCTCTATACTGTCGACTGGTCCGAAGTTACATCATTCTTCGGGAACACCTCTGTGATCAGGCTAAGTCTTATGACGCTGCTACGTCTCGTCTTCTCTAGCCAGTCCTCACTTGCCCGGCAGAGACCAGATATACATCCCACCTCGTCATAGCCCAAACCTCGACATACACAACGAGATCTTGCTCACACACAACACTAGACGAGGTGGACAGGTCGGGATCTCTACACGTCATATCCACCAAGCCCGGTCCTCCGACGAACCTCGTCTCTGGTCCAGCCCGTCACAGACCGCACAACAGCCACCCCGGTCTGATCCCCAAACCAAAAAGAACGCTGAGGTCATGAGAGAAAGGATCGAGATGCGAACCGAAAGATGCACAGCATCCTCATTCTTTTGAGCTATCAAGAGTCGTACAGCCCGAGGACTAGTCTAAAGTGGAGTGGGAAATCCTCCGCAACAAAGGAAAAGCTCTGAGGGGAGAAAAAGACATATAGAGACACTTACCGTCTGCACGTCTCTTATGAACATAGGGTTCCATCGTCTTGTCACAGTTCTTCGTACCCAAATGACATTGAGCAGCTAGGAGAAGTTGGATGTCTTCTTCCGTAGCTTGAAGCACGGCGGGTAGTTTGTCTGACATCTTGGTAGCTGGTTTGGTTGAGGATCGAATGGGTCTTCGTCTAATGACGGGGTCGTGGAAGGGCTTGCTTATTTGATTCTGTATAAGTCTTGACGGATTGTCTGATGGTCAGCTATTTTCTTGCCCTCTGTCAAACGGCGCGAACACAACTTGGAGCGGCTCCTCGAAGCTACAAAAGGAAACCGATGATAAGACAGTGGGAGCAACATACCAAAGACTGATCACTGCCGCAAGCTTGAGCAGATGAAGGATGTTGGACACTGTGAACAGGCAAGGTACGAGGGAAGTGTGAGGAGAAATCGGAATATGACCATGTGGCACTCCAATCCCAAGCTCGTCGGAGTTAAAGACTTCACTGATCTGACGGAGAGTTCGGAGATAAGGCGAAGGAGTGGCACCTTCCAAGTAAAGATGATTCTCCCACGGTGGTCACGTTCCTGGGCCTCCCCACCACTGCTCCCGCCCCTCTTCCCCCCCTGTCAAAGAACGAGTCGGTTGCTTCTTCCACCCCCCCCTCCCCCCTCCCCTCGCCACCCATCCTATCAGTTCTCTCGCTTCGGGGTTGTAGCATCCACTTAAAACAAGCATATCATCAATAAGAACCACAGATTCTACATTTCATACAAAGGGCAACCATAAAAACATATCATCCAAGGCGTATCACGGAAATTCCCCTGTACACGACAGTGGGAGACGGCTCTGGTCGTTCAGTCGAAGACACCGACATTCTGGGTGTTTTGAGTCTTTCCGACGTGAGTTTCCGATCATGATATCATATCTTCATCTTATCTCTCGTCATGTCGCTCCGTCAGACCACCAACAAGATCGTCTCTCATGTCATCTGCCACTTTACCGGGTTGGTGGCGAATCTCAAGGTTGACATTCCAGTCAAAGACCAATTTGTCCTTTGACGAGGTTTCGCCTCGTCGTATTCCGCAACTTATCTATCAATTATACCCCCGCAAAGTTCTCAATCCAAAATGTCGTCCGCAGCAACCCTCATCGTGGCTCGAAAGCCGACGAGATCTCTCTAAACTTCGCCACCCTCTTTGGTGGTCAAGCTTGAACAACGTACGGTCAACGGTTTTATCGATAACGGTCATCTGGTTTTCCAATCTATCCTGGGTCTAAGTCTGTTCATTCCCTATCACTTATACACACTATACCTGCAATTTCCACTGTAAATCTTCAACGTTTTTCATTTGCATACCCCAATCCCGACTCTTGCCACCCACACACGACAATCTCAGTAGACACCTGTTCACACCCGGTATTCTGGTCTTCAACGGCGGCAACTTACAACTTTCATAAACGAGACTCTTCCCGAACTCATCCACTCCCTTGTCTTCCTCACCCCGTCACGGCCAACACCGCGTCGGTCTGCCCTTCCTTTGATCCGACATCCCCGTCGCTCGCCTACTCACGCCAATAAAAGACTCTAGTCTGTGTCACTACTTGCCACTTGCCACCATCTCCGTCCCAGCACAACATATTGCTATCCATCTATTTTTCGCCTATCTAGTAAAACGAAACTAAATCATCGTGAGCAAGTTATAACATTTCAAAGGAGCGGAGAAAACGGTGGCGAACTTGTTTCAATCATAGTCATACCATCGCCACCGCACTTCTTCGCCACCCTCCCCAATCCATCCGACAATATCAACTCATCATTCCATCAGATCAACGTCAATATTTCAAAGTTGTATTAGCCATACCCCATTTTCTGCCAGTCTAGTCGAACTCATTTGTTACGCAAGAAAAACGGAATAAGCTGTACAGTATCCACGAAGATGTCACGTACAGCTAATGCTACTCCACCACCCCAACCTTACTTCCCTCCTAGGAATGCAACTCCAAGCATGCGTCACTCCACCGCCATCGTTCCCTCATTGCATATGCATCCCTCACGTCAACGTCCCCATCCTCAACATGCGCACGGTAAGAAACGATCTAAACACCTCTCCTCGGCGACCGCCGCTTTCGGTGCGTTGACACCCCGGAAGGCCAAAACGGGTGATTCTCCTGCTTCTCAATCCACTTCTGCCCAGAACACACCACTTGCCGAGGCAAATGTGAGTTTGGGGTTTGATATTCCTATTGGACTTGGATCGGCTCTACATCGAAATCAGTCTTCCTCATCTGCTCTATCAGCGCGATCTGTCCATAGTATCTCCTCAGCGACATTCACCACGGACAACACAGATCATACAGATACAGATATTGACATCGACTTTGATTCTGGTAGAGCGACACCGACACCTTCGTTCGCTACGGCGACCACGCGTCACAGTACGGCAGAAACAGACGCCTCAAGTTCCGTGCTTATCACACCAGCTTCGTCTCAAATCTCTTTCCCTTTGGATCTTAGTATCATATCTGCTACTTCATCTATCAGTTCAGATCATGCTCCGGCTATTCCCGTACAAAAACCCTCATGGGTACCTAATCTCAGTTTTGGGAAAATGGCGAGGGCTGTAGTGGACATAGGCATGGGATTTAGCGAGAAACGCAGCAAAAAAGATAGCAAAGACAAAGATCAAGGGGCGCAAGTTAGTACGCCTACACCAGTCTCGGCGAGATTAGGAAGGAGTGGGTCGTCGAGGAATTCGACTCCTACACCTGTAAAGGCAAAGGAAGATGAACGTCTGCAGAAAAAGCAGGTGGACGGAAAACAACAGTCGATTCAGCTACCTTCTCCCATCACACGAACCACTCATACGGTTCCCACGGTTCCGGCCGTTGAAACACCTCTGAGGGCAGCTCAGTTCGTTACGCCTGTTGGCGTCAATCGCGGAGAACAGGCGATCCAGCCGGACTCTCTATTGTTCTCCCAGGCGACCCCACAACCTCAGACTGTGGGAAACGATGCCCGCGCTGGCGTGGCTTTCATGCATGCCGAGTGGTTTGAAGCCCAGAGACAGAGAATGGTGGAATGTGCCAGACTTTGTTCCCAGTGGCCTCAATCGGGGTATAATCTGTTGAAGTTTGGTCCTGCTGGTGAGTTCAGATTGCCTGCTTCCTGTCCCAATCTTCCTTTTCCATTTGCCCCAACAAGCTGCTTGCTCATGTTCTGGTCCCGCCTCTTTGCATTTCATGTATGTTCCGTGGATAGGAACAAATACATTGCACATCCGGAGTCGGGTGCCAAGAGCCTCACACATGTACCCTGACATGAGCTAACCGTTAGGATCGAAACAGTTCTACGAACCTCAGTCTTATGCTAACCCGCAATATGTGGCCAGTCTAATGGAACGACAAGCTCAACTCGAACGTCAGATCACTGAGACGGAATCACTTTTCTTTTCTTCCTCTGCATCTGCCAGATCGTCGGGTTCTCTTTGCGGTTCACGTTCTTCTTCAGAATCTGGTGATTCGTTATCTGTTCAAGCAACCAGTTCTTCTCAATCTTCTTCTTTCTGTTGTCAAGCACCTGTAATTCCAGTGGATCGCGCAGAGTCCTCAGACGATATGGATCAACGAACGGCTGAGATCCGAGCTGCCATGTCGTCCCCTCTCATGCCGGTCCATTCGTCAGATTCACAAGTCTCTTTGATGGAGACGACAGGTAGTGGCATTTTCAAACATGCCGAGCTGGGCTCAGTGGTTTCGGACACCATGGACATTGATACGGATATTTCTTCCGTCCCTTCATCGACTTCTTTTGCTCATAATCACAGCTTTGCCTCGTCTTTACTCACCCTCGGATCCTCCCTTGAGATGTCCATTACGAGGTCTTCTCTCGAACCACCAAAATCTCACTTGAACCAAGAGTCATCGCAAAATCAAGAAAAAGACGACGATGATATCTTACGTACTCGTCCTTTCCGAGCTCAATCATGTGGGTCAAAACGTCCCTCACCTTCAGCTCCTGAAGAAGAAGAAAAACGTCGAAAAGTGGACGAAGCGATGGTTGTTGAAGAAGCCGTTTCAACCGGTGTAATCCAGCCCGTTACACGTAATGAATGGTCTGCTTCTGTCCCCGATTTGACCAAAGCGACTTCTTCCAGTTCTACGGTCTTTTCCAATCAAGAGAACTCAGTAACAACTTTCGGAAATTCTCAGAATCTTTCGTCTAATCTACAAATTCCTCCGACTGGTCAAGTTTTCGGTATGGTAGTGAAAACTTCTGATACTCATCCAATCATTTTATCACCTTTCGTACCTTCTAAACTCGTTCCGGTCCTAGCTGCACATCTCGTTCGACCGTCAGTAGTATCACAAAAACCGTTATTGTTGTCGAGCACCATCGATGTACCTAGTTTATTATTGAGTTTTACACCACCATCCGTCGCACCTATGCCGAATGGTTTATTGCCTAATTCGGTAGCAACCGGTTTGGACGTTCATATTTCCAGTTTTCCTAGTGTCGTTCCAGAGGTTGGACGAGCCTGTGGTGTGAATCAGTCTTTAGGTTACCCGACCGTAGGTAGGGGTCAAAGTTTCGGTGTCAACAGCGGAGACAATTCGATTGATGGAGTATCAAGGAATTCACTTGGGAATTTATTACTTAGCAGTTGTCCCGGTAAAAGATTAAGAATGGATGGACCGGTAAAAGGTCGAGGTCCTGTGTGTAGAGACTTGGAGACGGATTTGAGAAGAATAAAAAATGAAGGTGTTGGATGTTTGGTTTGGTAAGTTTTTGAGTTTTCTTCCTTCCCTCTCAATATTCAATGATTTTGTTCGTTCACCAAAACTCGTTTTGAGATTTTCGTCTTACTTTCTATTTCATTCCCTTTGCGCCTTTAGAAGCGCTCTTCGACGGATACTTTGTTCACAGACGTTCTATTCTGGTTTGTGAGCAAGGACAGATTTGTCAAATACGAACACCTTGCGAGAAGAATACGCGCTCATTATCAGTTGTCTTGATGATGCGGAACTAGCTTTACTTGGTGTACCATGGGATACATATCGTTCAGTCGCTACATCTTTAGGAATGGATGTTCTTCGGTTTGTCCATTTTTCATCGTGTGTTGTTTTGTCATGCTGAGTGTCACAGTCTTCCAATGCCAGATGGTTTCACACCTGTTTCCTTGGAATTGTTTGATACTCAAGTAGGGTTGATAGTGAAGAATTATAGTTTGGAGGGGATTAATGTTTTGGCTCATTGTCGTGGTGTGTATTTTATCTTACTTCATATCCTTCCCCACTTGTGTTATCATCTCAACATTCTTCCCCTTTTCCCTCAACCTGTCTTCTTCTTTCCCTCCACCTGCCTTCTCTCCTCTACCCTTTACCCTCATTTACCTGTCTATCGTCCACCTGTCTTCTCCTCCCATACCCATCTTTGATACTTACCTCACTCCCCTCCTCGTCATCATAACCCTTTCGACTGTCATCACATTTCATAAAACACATGTTGACATACAGGCGGGGTGGGTCGTGCCGGTCTCACAGCCTGTGCATGGGCGTTAAAAATGGGTTTCGTCCAACCTCATCCTTCCCTAACACTTATCGAACATGCCGCTTTGTCCACTTCCAACGTCATCCCTGTAGAATTGGAACATCAAATCGTCATGTCAATGGTCGAACGTGTCATCGCTATGATCCGAGCTAGAAGAGGGTTAAAAGCTATTGAAAGTTTTGAACAAGTACAATTCTTAGCTGCTTATGTGCGTTGGTTACGTGCTGCTCAAAGGGATTGATACTTTGTTCTCCTTTTTCTCTTCCTTCCTTCCTTCCTCCCTTCTTCCTACTCTATTTCTACTCTATCTCTTTTCCATTTTTTTTTCATTCTCTCATTGGATTATCATATCACTTCTACTTTCGCTTGCTCATGTTTCTCATGTGTTTCAGTCATCATATGTTCTGTTCGTGATCACTTGCCTGAAATGCTTGTGTCAATGGTCCATGATGTTGAAACCCGGGTGACGAGAGGTGGTCGTAATTTTTTTTTGGGACATGATCAAAGCAACGGTGATTAGAATCAGAAGGAAAAGGGGGGAAAGTGCGAAGTATCATTTTACAACCTACGACTTACAATTTACACTTATCATAAACCAATGAATATCAAGGACGGGACGGGACATGAAATGAACATTTGTGTAGTGGGGGGTTTTTGAGTAGAATTGAACGAAGAATGGTAGATGAACACTCTTTTTCTTTGCATTTTTCATCTATCCATCTTAACTTCATAGTCTTTTATTTTGTACATGTGAATGTACAATTGAAATTCAGACTTGCACTTTATTTTCAATCCATTTCACAACTGTCTTTGTGAATGTGAAAGTGCAATTGAATTCTTTTCCATTTTATCTATATCATGTTTGTGTTGGTTAGTGTATGTGAACATACATTTCAATGTGCATGTGCATGTGCATGTCCAATATGATTGAATACAACAGATCGTTCAATCGTTCGGCGTGTGAGGGTGAAGGGAAGGAAGGAAGGAAGGATCGTTGGTTCGTTGATTCGTTCGGGTTCATCCAGGGACACGATCCACGGAGGGAAAAACGAGTGAAATTCTTCTTGGTGGGTGATGGGTCCGTGGGTGAAGATAAACCTTTGAAAGATGGATTAAAGATGGATTATCTTGTGTCCACTGGATAGGTTGGTTCATGTAAGGAGAGGAAGGACGGAGAAAAGAAGAGGTAGGTGAGAGATGGTGAAGGGAATGGTAAAGAGGGAAATGGGATCAACTCCATGCTTGAGTATTACTATAATTCACTATTAAATGTCCTTCCGTTCCGAAACACTATACATTAACGAGGGTTCGTCATCATAGTCCATCCACCCCTGTTACATGATCTGGGGTATCGATTCAGAGGTTATTTGAGAGTCAGAATGAGGGACGAAAGAGGGTATCGATTCAAAGGTCATTCGAGAGTGAGAATGAGGGACGAAAGAGGGTATCGATTCAAAGGTCATTCGAGAGTGAGAATGAGGGACGAAAGAGGGTATCGATTCAAAGGTCATTCGAGAGTGAGAATGAGTGACAAAAGAGGCGAAAGAGGCGACAGAAGGGAAAGAAGGAAGGAAGGAGGAAGGAAGGAAGGAAGGAAGGAAGGAAGGAAGGAAGGAAGGAAGGAAGGAAGGAAGGAATGGGTTCCAAACCCACTTTAAATAAATTCCCAACTGTATCATCTGGTGCAGGTGCGAAAGCTCCGTTTATATAAGTGAACTGAATGTCAGCGTTTTATTTTTATACGTGTTAATGTAGATTATGACGCTTGAGACTTAAATGATTGCGGTTCTACCAGTGCTCTGAAATTGTTCGGATAATTGATGTCATATCGAGTGGGTGTTCTCATATCAAGTTGGTGTTCTCATATCAAGTGGGTGTTCTCATATCAAGTTGGTATCCTCATATCAAGTGGGTATCCTCACATCAAGTTGGTGTTATTGAGGGAAGAGCGGAAAGTCCTTAGAGAGAGGGAGGAGTTATACGGGAAGAAAGGTGATTGAACGTCTATAAGGGGAAGAGAGAGACGATCGTGTAGGTTCTTGAGACAAGACGCGATACATTTGAAGGGAAGAGTATGTTGAGATTTTAAAGGAATGAAGATGTTCATGCAGGTTTTTGATGTTTCACGGCGTCAGAAGGTGAAGATGACAAATTTGGGGAAGATCAACAAGTGTGTGATGACAAGTACGATACGGGGTAGATCAATTACTGTGAGAAAAGTATCATTAAAGATATGGAGTACACAGAGAGTATAGAATAAAGTAGAGTGTAGTGAACAGTGAGCAGTGAGAAGTAAAAAGAAAAGAAGAAAGGTTGAACATACCAAAGGATCAGTAGGTTTATAACCTAATTGAGTTCTTAAAAAAACGACCACAGCTTGGAATTTATTCCCTGCGGTGACTTTGAAAACGTTGTTTTTCATTATCGGTGCTGAACCTATTGATTTGAATCTGACCACTACTGATGAATGTCAGTTGTATATCCTTCATCCGTCTCCCCGTACCCATAAATCCATACAGTCATTTCAAGAGTAATGAACCTCATTATGCGTCCTGCGGCTCTTGGGGAGGGGGTTCAGCGTCTCGTCTCCATCTTGATCTAGCTTTCTCCCCCGAATGAAATGAATGATGTATGTGTATGATTATATCCCGAAAACTTGAGTGACAGTTCTCGTGAATGATCAAAACTGATATGATAGATCGACGATGGACGATAGACGATAGGACAAGGAGGACAGATGTGAGCGGGGTGAGAGAGGGAAGTAAGGATTGTAATACCAACTGACCTTTAGAAGCATCCTTGATTTTATAATGTTCCAAAGCTGCCAAAACGTCAGATTTAACTTGACCAATTGGATTAGGTTCTGAATCGTCAGTCATAAGTCATCCTTTATCAATCTTAGACTGTTGATTGGAAATGAGAAAGTGGGAAGGTAAAGAAAAGGACTCACGTTCAAGAAGGGGAGACATGAGATCAGGTATTGGTGAAGTCATCTTTTCCGGGGTGACTCTTTTGAACTCTTTCCGACTAAGTGAGGTCCTCGCTTGGTGGAAAAATTGCGATGAAGTGCGATAAGGCCTTTACTTTGGCTGATTGAATTCGATGGTAGTGATAGAAGGATGAAGATAAGGTAGATGTTCAAGGGAAGAAGAGGTAAAGTCAAAGTCGAATGACAAAGTTTCAGTTGGAAGTTGGTTTCTTCATCTTCTTCCTTCCTCCACTTTAACGTTACCTCTTCACCCTATCACGCTATACGCAACCATACAGGTATCTATCTGCATATTGAATACAGTCTTACTTTCTCTCTCACACTTTTGTTACTACTGGCGCTTTCGCAGACGATGGACAACACAGATCCTCCTTCCACACCACCAGCAGAAACCCCCAACCCTCTATTCGGTTCAACTCCTTCAGACCCTTCTCAATCAACTCCCCATAGCCAGACTCAGGTTATAATTCAGAAAGGTCAATTCTTCATACTCTCGGAATACGATATTGAATCAACTAGCCCACCTGATTGGAGTTACGTCTACGTCTACAAGTACTTGGGTGACCCTACCCTACACAGATGCATAACGAAAGCCCCAGTCACCGACGGTGATAAGCTTGGGAATAACCCATTCGACTCGTTTTCATACAGGCCAGTCTATCAGCCGAACTGGTCCATATGTCCTAGCGAACGATTGGCATCGACTTACTCTAAACTTCCCAACTACATTCGACATGAAGTCGAACCGTCGATTCTTGCCGAGAATCTAACTCATGAGATTTCAATCTACGAATACCTAAGATCCCACCCTCATAAAAACATATGCACTTATCACGGATGCCAAGTTGAGGACAATCGTGTTACATCTATACGGCTTGACAGCTTAACGCATAGCGTTGGTGTTGCTGTAGGTAGCCGATATACTATCAATCAACAAGCACTTGTTCATGATATCAGATCGGCTTTATCGCATCTCTTGTCTGTAAATCTCTTATACACGGTGTAAGACGCGCTCGATCGGAATCGATAACGTCTCCAATGTAGAAAGACAAACGAGGAATCCGATAATGCATAATGACAGTAAAGCAGCCTATATAACCTCGACTCAGATCTAGATAGACAGGAGAACTGAGAGAACATTCTAGTGGAAGGAAAGTACTAGAATGTGATGGAAAGTTCCAGAGAAGGGTGGAAGGTACCACACGGAACTAGAAGCGACTACACACGGACCTACACTCCAGCATCCAGACGGTCATTGGTGTCTTATAGACTTTGAGCATTGCTATTTCAAGTGGGAAACCCAAGAGCCCATACCAGACCTCATACCTATTCACAGTCTAGACCCATCCAAAGGTGTCGCAACCTACAACCAATACCTGGATCGAATCATTAAAGACTCTTTCCCCCAACGCAATCACTATAGCACCCACAACCATGACTCCGCACACCTGCCCCTAGATCTCTAGATCTGCCTATTCGACTACATTTTTCCTAAGATTTTAGGACCCCAATTTATTAATGTAAATCGCACACTAATATATTTTTATATTAGATAAACAGTAAAATAAATATAATGACATATCATACAAGTTGTAAACATGACCGCCCCTCCAACAATACTCTACCAACACCCCCAAACAACCAACACACCAATCACCCAAACAACCACAACCACCCAACATGAAATAATATCACCATTCCAAAGCATCTAACAGTCAAAACCCAACCTAAACCACTACCACCCAAAGCATCTAACATCCAAGACGTCATCCTATTCAATCTATACAACAACCTTCAACCTATACACTCTCTTCAACCTCCCCACCCCCTCCGTCTTCTTCAAAGTCTATCTCTCAACATACAACCACCTCTTCACCCTTACCATCAGCTCAACCTACTTCAGCAAACCATTCACCCACAACCATGTACCCTTCCACATCCTTCTCAACACGCCTAACCCCCTTTTCTCCCTCACCGGACCACGTCGTATCTCCCCCTCACTCACCTAGATCCCTACCTACATTCATCCGTCGAATCAGTATACTACTATCCATCATCATAGGTGCTTCAGCTCTCGTGGGATTAACTTGGAATCGATTGTTTTTACCTCTGTTACACGCCACTTTCTCCGCTCGACAAGTATTGACCGACCAACAATTATCTCGATGGGAGATAATTTCATCAAAGATCAAAGAAATACGTTCTAGGAAGTTTTATGGATTGGAAGTTTCTGACGACACCGGTTCTTCCAATCCTCCGAAAGGTATGAAAGAATCAATGAAAGATGGACGATTGGTCGATGAGAATGTCCAAAATGTTTTGGAAGAGGAAAGAAATGCAACTCTGAAAAAGGATATGAATGAGAATAACCAAGACGACCATATCAATGGAGATATCAGTCTTAATATTGATGAAAACCAACAAATACCTCGAGATGATATTATTCAGAAGAATGAAGACCGACAGAACGAACATGTACCAAAACCGATCCACATTAAAAAACCTAATTTAATGCTATGCGAGGAGAAAACATTCATGAAATTGATAAACACCTTTGAAAATCTATCAACAACTTTAGAAATCACTCAAACAACAAGAATATCATTATTATCAACATTAGAAAATTTCACTTCTTCTTTACATCGTGAAATGTTTTTGAAGGTTAATCCTAGTCTATCAACTAATTTCAATGTTAAATCTAACCCTTCTTCGAAATCATCTTTTAAAACGAATCCGACTCTTCTTTCGAAGGATTGGTTGGGGAATAAGAATGATCTTTTAAATGATTCATCTGGGATTCTTCCGTATACCTCTTCTGTAAAATCTAGTAGTTCAGCCAAGATGACCTCGATAGGGATGCAGGAAGGAGGGATGGGATTGGGATTGGGATTGGGGACGGGAGTGGGATTGGGAATGGGATCGGGAATGGGAATGGGAATGGGGTTGGAAGACAAGAATGAAGATTGGGATAAGGTTAGGAAAGAAATCAGAGCTGTTAAAGGTTTATTATTAGGTCGAAGAAATTTCGGAACTTGATTCTTTCTTCTCCATACCTCTACCCTCTCCTCAAACCACAGACCACAAATCACAAATCACAAATCACAAATCACAAATCACAAATCACAAATTCCAAGTCTGAAATCCCGCTTCCTGGTGTCGATGACGGTCAATTTAGTTTGTAGGGTTGTTCAGAGGACGTCGGTCAGTTGGTGTTTATAGAATAGACGTATGAGACGGAAGAATTCGGTGTATGTTCAAGTAACGAGACGGAATATAAAAACATGCAAAAGTTGACAATAATTCAAAGTACCAAAATACCTTCATTCCCTTGCTCAACTTCCATCTTTCCAACTTATCTTTTATCCCTCCGCTAAACTTTCCGCAAGCTACGCAATCAGCACCACACCACTCCACTTGTTTTCCTCTCCACTTTTCTTTCTCTCCACACATTTCACACAAGACTGGACACTGAGACGTTGGGCCGGGGGGGGGGGGAGGGGGGGGGGGAGGGCCAAAAGAAACTTCAAACGTTGAAAATTTGGTTTTAACATCTCTCGGTCCCTCATCTCCTCCACCACTACGATTCCCCAATACCTTGCTTCCGGTCGTCTCTCTAATCTCGTCTACTCTCACCCCAAATACTTTGTCTGGGCTCTGGGAATCTAATCCCCCACCTTTTTTGCTCTGGAACTGTTCAGAGCATTTGGTTCCTTACAGCCTCGCTGGGAATCTACTGTGCACAAATGTTTTTCTATGCTCCATCCGGCCCCTCCTAAACAC